CCGTCACCAGCCATCTGAGAAGATTCTCCATACTCTTTTGATCTTCGGCTCAAGTGGAGAAGAGTACATGCATCTCATCATCCCTTCCATTGTGCGTCTCTTTGATCGGCCACAGAACCCAACAAGCATTCGCAAGTCAGCCATCGATAGCTTAACCAAACTTTCGCGACAAGTCAATGTGTCTGACTTCGCCTCCCTCATGATCCACTCTTTGTCAAGAGTTGTGGCCAGTGGTGACCGCGTCCTACGTCAGGCTGCCCTTGACTGCATCTGTGCTCTTATTTTCCAGCTCGGTCAGGACTTCACACACTACATCCATCTCCTCAACAAGGTCCTGAAGACCCACCAAATTACACATGTCAACTACCAGATCCTGGTAACCAAGCTTCAAAAGGGTGATCCCCTTCCACAGGATCTCAATCCCGAAGAAGTGTATGCTTTCCCAGCCGATGATACCAACTTCGCGGAAATTGGACAAAAGAAGATCGTTGTGAACCAACAACATCTAAAGAACGCCTGGGATGCTTCGCAAAAGTCCACGCGAGAGGATTGGCAAGAATGGATCCGCCGCTTCAGTGTTGAGCTTCTCAAGGAATCCCCATCTCCGGCACTACGTGCATGTGCTAGTTTGGCTGGTATCTACCAGCCGCTCGCCAGAGATTTGTTCAATGCTGCTTTCGTATCATGCTGGACCGAGTTGTATGATCAATACCAGGAAGAGCTCGTCCGCTCTATCGAGAAAGCGCTCACTTCTCCAAATATATCCCCGGAGATTTTGCAAATTCTCCTGAATCTGGCTGAATTCATGGAGCATGATGACAAGGCTCTTCCAATTGATATTCGCACCCTTGGAAAGTATGCTGCCAAATGTCATGCCTTTGCCAAGGCTCTTCACTACAAGGAGCTCGAGTTTGAGCAAGATCAAAACTCTGGCGCTGTGGAAGCTCTGATTACTATCAACAATCAGCTCCAGCAATCCGATGCTGCTATCGGTATTCTCCGCAAAGCTCAGGCGTACCGTGATGTGGAACTCAAGGAAACCTGGTTCGAGAAGCTTCAACGGTGGGACGAAGCTCTGGCTGCTTACAAGCGTCGTGAGAAAACAGACCCAGACTCCTTCGGCATTACTATGGGTAAAATGCGTTGTCTGCACGCTCTTGGAGAATGGAAGGTACTTTCAGACCTTGCGCAGGAGAAATGGAACCAAGCATCACTGGAGCATCGCAGAGCCATCGCTCCTCTTGCTGCTGCCGCTGCCTGGGGCCGAGGCCAGTGGGAGTTGATGGACTCCTACCTCGGTGTTATGAAGGAGCAGTCTCCCGATCGTTCATTCTTCGGTGCCATTCTGGCTATTCACCGCAATCAATTCGAAGAAGCGAACATGTACATCGAGAAAGCACGTAATGGCCTCGATACCGAATTGTCTGCTCTTCTTGGAGAGTCATACAATCGTGCTTACAACGTTGTTGTCCGTGTTCAGATGTTGGCTGAATTGGAAGAGATCATCACATATAAGCAGAATGTCGGTGACCCAGAAAAACAAGAAGCCATGCGCGCAACATGGAATCAGCGATTGCTTGGATGTCAGCAGAACGTGGAAGTGTGGCAGCGTATGCTCAAGGTCAGGGCCCTTGTCACGGCTCCCCGCGAGAACCTTGATATGAGCATTAAGTTTGCCAACCTTTGTCGCAAATCCAACCGCATGGGTCTCGCCGAACGATCTTTGGCATCTCTCGAGACGATCGTGGCTGATAGCAATGGTGTGCGCACTATTATCCCCCCTGAAGTCACATATGCTAGGCTGAAATTTAGCTGGGCAAACGGACACCAGCAAGATTCTCTCGACATGCTCAAGGAGTTCACCAGTGCATTGACCGATGATTTCCAAAAGTTTAACACTCTCATGGTGGCACAGGGCGATCACCATGGAATGAACGGGGTCAATGGAGCTGCTGATCCAAACCACCCAGATCTAATCAGCTTGCGTGAACGGATTGGAGATGCCAACAAATTCCGAAGGCTCCTTTCAAAGAGTTACCTCAGACAGGGAGAATGGCAGAGAGCTCTCCAGAGAGGTGATTGGAGACCAGAGCACGTTCGTGAGGTCCTCAGCGCCTACTCTGCGGCTACCCAGTACAACCGCGATTCGTACAAGGCATGGCACTCATGGGCTCTTGCCAACTTTGAAGTCGTCACAACCATCGCTAGCCAAGCCAGCCGCGACGGTGCACCAGCGCCAGTTCCTGCCCACATTGTCACAGAGCATGTCATTCCTGCTATTCGTGGCTTCCTGCGGTCCATCGCTTTGTCCTTGACATCTTCGCTGCAAGACACATTAAGGTTGCTTACTCTTTGGTTCAGTCATGGTGGCGACCATGAAGTCAACACCGTCGTCACGGAAGGTTTTACGGTTGTGAACATTGATACCTGGCTATCTGTGACTCCTCAGTTGATCGCTCGAATCAACCAGCCTAACATCAGAGTCCGGAGTGCCGTCCACAGGCTGCTTGCTGAGGTGGGCAAGACGCATCCTCAGGCCTTGGTGTATCCACTCACGGTTGCATCGAAATCGACCGTGACCCGACGCTCTCAATCTGCTAGCAACATTATGGAAAGTATGCGGCAACATAGCGCCAAACTTGTCGAGCAAGCAGATCTCGTGAGTCACGAGTTGATCCGTGTCGCAGTCCTGTGGCACGAACTCTGGCACGAGGGTCTGGAAGAGGCTTCTCGTCTCTACTTTGGCGATCACAATGTCGAAGGCATGTTCACCACACTTGCTCCTCTTCACGACATGCTAGACAAGGGTGCTGAGACCCTGCGTGAGGTATCATTTGCGCAGGCCTTCGGGCGTGATCTGGCCGAGGCGAAGCACTACTGCATGCTGTACCGTGAGTCGGAAGAAATTGGTGATTTGAACCAAGCTTGGGACTTGTACTACACGGTATTCCGCAAGATCAACCGACAGCTCCCACAGCTATCGACCCTTGATCTCAAATATGTTTCTCCTCGGCTGAAGGACTGCTCGGACCTTGACCTTGCTGTGCCCGGAACATACCAGAGCGGCAAGCCAATCATTCGAATCATCAGCTTCGATCCAATCTTGCATGTCTTGCAGACAAAGAAGCGGCCTCGTCGTATGACACTCAAGGGTAGCAACGGCAGTTCGTACATGTACGCTCTCAAGGGACACGAGGATATTCGACAAGACGAGCGAGTCATGCAACTGTTCGGTCTGTGCAATACCCTGCTTGATAACGACAGCGAGAGCTTCAAGCGACACCTCTCAGTCCAGCGCTTCCCCGCCATCCCATTGTCCCAGGCTTCCGGTCTGATCGGTTGGGTCTGCAACAGTGATACACTACACGCTTTGATCAAAGAGTATCGTGAAAGCCGTCGCATCCTCCTCAACATCGAGCACCGCATCATGTTACAAATGGCACCTGACTACGACAGCCTTACGCTTATGCAGAAAGTTGAGGTCTTCGGCTACGCTATGGATAATACAACCGGCAAGGATCTCTACCGAGTACTCTGGCTCAAGAGCAAGAGCTCAGAAGCATGGCTCGAACGGCGTACCAACTACACCCGATCTCTCGGTGTCATGTCCATGGTTGGTTACATTCTTGGTCTTGGTGACCGGCATCCGTCCAATTTGCTACTTGATCGTGGCAACGGTCGGGTCGTTCACATCGATTTCGGTGACTGCTTCGAAATTGCAATGCATCGCGAGAAGTACCCAGAGCGAGTACCGTTCCGACTTACGCGTATGTTGACATTCGCCATGGAAGTCAGCAACATCGAAGGAAGCTACCGCATTACCTGCGAGGCTGTCATGCGTGTTCTACGGGACAATAAGGATTCCCTGATGGCAGTCTTGGAAGCCGTAAGTGACTTAATCATCTACCATTCGCCATCATCCGCTAACTTTTGTTCTAGTTCATTCACGATCCACTGATCAACTGGCGTCTCGGTACCCAGGAGTCTCCCGATCGGGTATCCCTCACAGCAGAACGTCGCCAATCCATCATTGAGGGTGTCAATTTCGAGCACGGCGTTCAACCAGGCAACTTCTCCCGCCGCCGCGGATCTATTCTTGAAGGCGGTATCCTCGATGGCCAAGAGAACGTCCCTCAGGAAGCCCGCGAGGCACAGAATGCCCGTGCTCTCCAGGTGCTCGCTCGAGTCAAGGAGAAGCTTACTGGACGTGACTTCAAGCCCAATGATGAGCTGAGTGTCAGCGACCAGGTTGACAAGCTTCTCGCACAAGCAACCAATGTCGAGAACATCTGTCAGCACTGGATCGGATGGTGTAGTTTCTGGTAGTCTGGGTTGATGTGGATCCTTTTCCTTTTGGTGTTCTATGGCGTGGATGATGATATGATCTGATGCGTGTTTGTTTTATCTTGTCTTTCACCTTGTATGTAGAGTTACCCCTGTTATTTGGTTGATTTGAATTTTGACACTTCCCATTTTCGGGCCTGTGTCTTCTGGTCTGTTTAGATATAATTCAGTTGCCTTTGGGCTTTGTGATTTCGCGAGTCTGTTGCCTTGCCTCATAAGGCGATATGTTATTCTATGGCTCCTCGGCCTTGTTTTCCGGGCTGTTCTATCATCTCTCGTAATTCCAACATCTGTAAAGGTCAATTCCTTTCCCCGTCGTACTATCTCCTACGTCTTTGGCCTCCCCTATACTTTATATCTCGATCTCTGGTGTCAGACTCTGAAAAATGACCAACCCTGTCACTTGCTCTTCCCGGCCTGAAGACGGATGCCTCGAGGGTCTGCCTCTCTCGATCAGGAGGTTCCAATATCAAGGAAGGCACCATTTCTGTCGTATGATGGGTCTTGAATTAGGCAGGCACGACCGTGAAACCGATTGTTTACTTTTTCACATTGACTTGGTAGATTTAGAACATGACTTCCTAAACCCTCAGACAACGTATTTTCCAACTCTTCGTTTATCTACAGACATTGGGCATGGCCTTTTATTGATCAATATGCCAACTCCGGAACATGGCGTTGCGGCCGGGTCACTTGGGAAAGAAGTGACCCTGGAGATATCCATGATGGGCCATGGCCTTGGAAGCGCTATAAAGATGTCTGCAGGTTCGGGCGTTCGCCGAGATGGTACAGGGAAAGACACGGATCTAGCTTGGGCACTGAAAAGGAGATTCAGAGGAGCTGATGCAGTTCAACGGCAGTATACCGTGACCGTGGAGGCTGCGGTTTCGGAAACGGCAGACAAGCTAAAGCGAGATGTTGATTTTTGGCTGAACCCCGCTACGGGCAATACTAATATGGTGATCACTATGAAGATTAGCCGTCGCCTGGCTCTGATTGATATCAAAACTTGGGTATTAGTTGGCTCGCGTCCGCACTGTGATCAGAGTGTGTTGATCTCGAAGGATAAGAAAGGGAAGATCCGAATCACGGCGCCTCTCCGAATGCCTTTCGAGTCCATCTTTGACAGACCTTCTTCGATTTCGGGAAGAAAAGATATTTATTTGTCTGAGGCACGGCTTGAAAACATCGCCGAAGATATCTGGGAGGAACAAGAGATTTAACATTGCCACCTTGGATCACATCCACGTGAGCGGGACTCGACACATTACCGTCTCACCTCCACATCTCCTCACACCCGAACCAAAATGGGCGGCGATCTGAACCTGAAGAAGTGAGTTCCACTCAGAATTCTCGAGAAAACGCACATGGCTAATACTAACTCAACAACAGATCATGGCATCCATCGCTGCTCAAGAACCAAGAGCGCGTATGGGCTCAAGAGAAGCGCGCGCTCGAGGAGCGCAAGCAGATCGATCAGCTCCGACGCGAAAGAGAAGAAGAACGCCAAATTCAAGAACTCCAGCGCCTCCAAGAAGCCTCCGGTAAGACGAAGCTGCAGAACCGCGTCGACTGGATGTACCAAGCCCCCTCCAGCGCCACCGGCCACTACTCCGAAGAGATGGAGGGATACCTGCTAGGAAAGCGACGGATTGATGGAGTCTTGCTCAAGAACGACGCCGAGACTAAGAAGCTGGAGAAGGGGTCGGAAGTTGTGGGCAATGATGCTGCGGCGGCCGGTCCATCTGTTGGGTCGGCGCGCGATACCATGTCGAAGGTTATGGCAGACCCGCTCCTTGAAGTCAAGAAGAGGGAACAAGCGGCCTACGAGGCGATGGTCAAGGAAGCGATGAGGCGCAAGGAACGGGAGGAGAAGCGTGCTCAGGCAGGAGACGGTGCTCGCGAGCGCGGAAAAGACCGTGATCGTCGCCATCGAGACCACGACTCCAAGCGCAGACGGTACAGTGATGATGCGGCTTATGAGCGCCGCGATAGACACCACCATCGGTCATCTCCTCGTCGGCACCGATCCAGATCTCCACACCGCAGGCATAGGAGTGAGCGCGAGCGTGAGCACCGTGACGATGAACGCCGTGAAGATAACCGTGATCGGCGGAGTGATGACACCAGATCTCGTCGGGATGACAGGGACCGTGGCCGAGACCGTCGCGACCAGGACAAGAGAGATTCATATTCCCGACAGGCTCGCGATGACAGACGTGACCGGGACCGCAAAGGTGACCGCTCATCTCGTCGATACTCTCGATCACCTCGTCCGTCTGGAGACCGCAACGAACGCCCCCCTCCCACCGAGGACCGTCGCCGAGACTTCGCCCGCCGTGAGTTTAATATCCGACGGGACTCTGGTCGTGACAACGGTGCACCTCCTGCTCGTCCACCAGCCAACAAGCCTGATCCCAAGGAGGTTGAGGAAGAACGACGTCGCAAGCTGGCAGAGATGCAATCCAATGCCTCTGATATGGAGGTAGACCGACGCCAGCGGATCACGGATATCACCGCGAAGGAGGGACAGCAGCAAGAAGCCGATGATCGTCAGCGTTCAGATCGGGGCAGGTTCATGTCTGATATGCATAAGCGAGTGCAAGAGGATAGTCTCGATGAGCGTATTCGTCGTTCTCGTGGTGGACTTGAGCGCATGGAGGAGGATTGAGAAGGAGGCTTTGCGTGAGATCGGTCTTCCTTTCTTGTCTGTGTTGTCTAGCCTCGATGGCTTGGATATGGGACTGGTATTTATGATTCCCTTGATTTATTTTAGCGATTCGCACAAACGTCGATCATTAATATCTATTATTCTGTGTTTGTATGCAGTACTCCGTACACGACACGAGTCAACGAAGACTACTCTACCTCTGGCTTGTGTCTGGCTTCTTAGCTACATCGCATCCCATGCTGAATGCAAAAGGATACAAGGTCTGTCTGAACCTTCGTGGTTGGGGTGTGGCGTAGGTCATAGACTTTGGGAGAGAAAGAACTATCAAGTACACGAAAGGCGCTTTGATATCATCTCAAGATTGATTGATGGATTACATGTAAAACGATTTAAGCTGTTTGCTACCCCAGATTACCTATTTGAGCCGACATGGCAATTGGCGACGTTTTCCAATTATTGGGAGGAAACTCAGTTGCTGACATCACAACGTCTTGGTGATCTGAAGACGCGTCAAAGAGATTGAGGAGGATTTACACCATTTGCCCTGTGTTTTCGTCTTCCTGCCCTCCAGCGTGGCTGTCATGGCTCACACCATTCCGGCCATAGTTCTTGACTACCACGCTTCGATGATGCTCACTTACGTTCAATACCATCCTACATACCAAGGAAGACAACGTCTTTTATTTATACAGGATATGCCAGAAATCTCCGATCTAGTCTGCTGGCCGCAATAGTACCTCCAGACGGTACTACAATCATGCCTCGCCGAAGAAGCGGTTTTCTGGCCTCGGCAGACCGAAGTGTTCACGCAGCGTCGAGCCCGTATAATCCGTGCGGAACAGACCTCTCCGTTGCAGCTCTGGAATCAGCCTGTCCGTCACCTCTTCCAGACCCTGAGGCAAGAAAGGGAATGTGCAAGTGAAGCCATCCGAGGCCTCCTCCGTTAACCAAGTCTCCATCTCGTCAGCGATATCACTCGGCGAACCAAGGAAAGCCAGCCCCGAATACCCTCCGTACCGCTGCGCAAGTTGGCGAATAGTCAGACCCTCCTTCTTAGCCAACAATTCAACACTCTCCCTGCTGGTCTTGCTCGCATTCGTCTCAGGCAGATCAACCGGCAAAGGCCCATCAGGATCAAAAGCACCAACATCAACCCCAAGCGAAATTGACAAAGAAGCCAGCGCACTATCATAATGCACAAGACTATCCAACGCCAACCTCTTCGCCTGCGCATCCTCCTTACTATCCCCAACAATAATCAACGCAGCAGGCAATATCTTCAGATGATCCCTCTCGCGTCCAGCCCGGACAACCCTCTCCTTAATATCAGCATAGAGAACCTTGGCCCCCTCCATATCCCTGGGACTACAAAAAACAACCTCGGCAGTCTCAGCAGCAAGCTGTCTTCCAGGCTCACTCTGTCCAGCCTGAACAATAACAGGCCAACCCTGCACCGGCCGCGCAATATTCAACGGGCCACGCACCTTCAGTTCCTCACCCACATGATTCAAAACATGCATTTTGCCCGGATCGAAGTACTCCTCACTCGCCACATCCCGTGTAAACGCATCATCAGTAAAACTATCCCAAAGACCCGTGACGACATCGTAGAACTCGCGCGCACGCTTGTACCGATCACTATGCGTCATGTGCTCATCGAACCCGAAAGTATGGCTTGATTCCGGATTGCCAGTCGTAACAATGTTCCACGCTGCACGGCCATTGCTCAGATGGTCCAGACTGGCGAAGCGACGTGCAACATGGTATGGTGCATCGTAGGTCGTGCTGGCTGTTGCGGCCAAGCCAATCTTCTCGGTTACTGCTGACAGCGCGGAGAGTAAGGTGAAGGGCTCGAAGGATGTGACTGTGTGGCTGCGCTTCAGGGCTTCGATGGGCATGTTTAGCACGGCTAGATGGTCGGCCATGAAGAAGGCGTCGAATTTGGCGGCTTCGAGCTTTTGGGCGAAGTGCGTTATGTGTTGGAGGTTGAAGTTTGCGTCGGGGTATGAACCTGGGTACCGCCACGCTCCTGTGTGTAGGGATACTGGGCGCATGAAGGCTGTTAGGTGGAGTTGGCGGGTTGGGGTTGGGTCTGTCATGATGGTTGTTTTGATATTGTGTGCGTTCTGAGAGGTTGGTGACGAGGATAATGGAATACGTTGTAGGCGTGCTTTGGATAGGGGGATTAGCTGTGCTCTATATACTCCTCTATATACATACTAAGGGGCCTTGCAATCCCATTTATCAGCCGATTTATAATCTTCGGCCATTGGGAATGGCGTGCTGGACAAGGTTGCTTGCGCGAGCAGTTTGTGTAAATGTCAGCTCAGAGACGTACAGTATCTCCCAAGAAGCGACTGTGACCCAAGAGGCTTGTACAAAGAGTTGATATGTGCACACACTGCCACATGAGGTACAGTGACGTCTGATATCGAACTGACATATGTATACACACTTGTGGCCATTTTGGGTATAGCGCCGTCCATGGTATCTCATTAGGGCTACCATCGTGCATGTGAACCTCGAGTAGCGCAGTGATATAGGCACTCTTCCAGGTCATATCCGGGCTAGAGAGCTAGACGATGAAGTCCAAGTTGAATTAGGTCTTGGCTATATCTTTTCCAAAATGGTAGACAAAAATAATCTTAATTACTAGGCGCAGACCACACAGAACCCGTGTTCTATCTACATGTACAATTACACCCCTCCACAACGTCAAGGTGGATTATAACAACAAAAGCTCACCCGTAGCAGCTCCACCAGCCAAATGCGGCTGATAAACCTGCTGCTGGTTCTGAGTCACGACATACTGCGATTGAGGCATACCTCCACCACCAACATCACCCAGATCCAGCGAGGCCATCTGTTGAGATCCAATGCCGCTGAAGTAGGCGTCGGCTGCATCGGCTGCCTCATTCATATTGCTGGGACCGGAGGCTGCTACAGAATTGGGAGCAGGAATTGGGAGATTGGGAGGGGGAGGAGCGTTGACTGGGGTGATGGGGTCGCCTGTCGTGGTGATTGTGGCGAGGCCGCTGTTGCTGGTTGATGCAGCGGGCATGTTTGCGGTTGGAGGGTTGTAGTCCAACATGTTGCCTGTGCCGTCCTCGACGGGGGAACGCTGCAAGGCTGGGCTGGGTAAGAGGCGGCGAGGGCGGGCCGCGCGGAAGACTTGGTGGATGGGCTTGAGATAGACGGTGGCGAGCGTGCCGACGTTTAGACAGAGTTCCTCCAGAGTGCGGGGATCCAACTTTTCGCTTTCAGCTGTGATCGGGGGCTTTTGACCCATGACGACTTGCTTGGCGGTGGCTGGGTCGGTGGACAGTAGACGCCAGTACATGTAACCACGGTCACGGAGATCTGGGTCATCCGTTTCCTCTGTGCACCACTTTAGTACTTGTGGGACAAGCTGTTGGCCCTTGGTAGGCCGTTGGATAAATAATTTGACGGTAGCCGTAAGCAGGGCCAGCTGTACTTCAACCGTTTCGTCATGGAAGGTAGCCAGATAATCCTGAAGGAGACCATCGGAATTATCAATGCGGTCTGCATATTGGCCAATAATCCAGATGACAGCTGCCTTCGCCTCGGGTTCGTCGAGATCATCGATGTTACGGAGAACGTGACTGATAATGCTCTCGTACTGGTTGGGGTACTTGCGGAAAATGTTGCGAATCACCACAGTTGCCTCCTGAACAATGTACGGGATCTTGGCGTCGACCAGCTCCAATAATGTATCGATACACTGCTTTGCAGAAGACTCGATCTTAATCGCCAGTTTTCCAATGGCCCGAACAGCCTTGCGCACAAAGTGCACATCAATTTCAGTGGCATATCTGCAAACACCATCAGCACGTAACCCAATTTGAAGATTGGGATATACTCACTCGCGAAGTTCTGCTAAGACCACGCCAATGTTATCTTTTGTGGTGAGCATGAACATCAATTCCAACTTGGTCACTTTGACGTAGATAGGGTCGTTGTAGTTACAGAAGAATACGCGAATATCGTTCCGCAAGACTTCGGGCCTCTTCTGAAGAATTAGAATAGCATTTCGCAGGGCCAGGTACTGAACCTCTGGGGGCTTTGAAAGCAATGTAACGAGAGGCGGGGATAGCTTCTTGCATAAGGAGGTGATGTGTTTTTCACCAGAGATGTAGTTCATGAGGTAAAGGATGACTCGGCAAGAAGTGAGAACAACGGCCGAATTTTGATGTGAGAGACGTGGAGCAATCCGCTCTGCTAGCAGAAGTGCTTCCGCGGCATCTTGGGGCACGTATGCCATTAATGCCTCAAGAATGTAGGTTTGACCCCACCTGAGCAGCTGTTAGTACATCTATTCCTGCAGGTGGATGGAAAGTTCTTACTCGGAGCAGTCTGCCAAAATAGATACCAGTTTCGAAGCGCTGACATAGTCGATAGTGAGAGAGATCGACTCACTGCGGCCCCAAATGTCTACCAGCGAAGCCAAAACGCTGGACACGACAGTTGGGTTCTCATCCTTCAACATGCGATTAAGTCGATCGATCAGATCCGAGTTCTCCACCATCTTCTTATCGTGTTCATAAAGCTTGGCGACGCAGAAAGCGGCCGTCTTGCGGACATAAGGGTCGTTGTCTTGCATTAGGCGTTTGAGAGGCTGGAAGGTTGCTTCGACGAACTCGCGAACATGTACATATGAAATGGTCCGTAGTGCAAGCGCGCGCACAAGTGGGTTGTTATCGGCCATATCCTGTAGGTCACCTGTCAGCTCAAGTCCATGTTCTCTTGCCGATATCAGGGTCTTACATCGACCAAGATCGGAAGTGCCTTCAATGCGACCTCTGGCTTCATTCTCGAGTAGTTGACCAAGAACAAGAAGCACATCTTCTTGATCTCCAAACTGGGCAGATTCATACAGCCGATAACGTCCGGGAACAAGGCTACCATATCGTTATTGCTCATGGTCATGTTGGCGACAATCTTCTTGAGGGCGATCTTCTTGGCAGAGTAGTTCTTGTCTTTCTTGCCGCCACTATTGAGCTCCAGCCGCAGCTCCGCGACCTTCCCCTGTTGATTTGAAGAGCGTGAGCCATATGTTGGAGCAAAAGGAGCAACCGCGAGAAACATGAGGAAATATGAAACAGTGCGAGTTCATGCAGAATATCACAGGGGTACACCAAAAGCAAGGGAAGCAAGCTGCAAGCAAATGCCCGAGCCAGAACGAGGGGACAGAAAGAAGAATGCGGGGGGAAAGAAAAGGATCAGCCGATCAGACAGGAGCTAACGTACCCTGGCGAACAACTTCGCGTCTCCCCCAGAACTCATGGCTGCGATATGAGCGAATAGCGTTTAGGGACTGCTAAGCGCGGGCTGTAGGTGCGGATTCGGCGGATTTAGGCTCTTGTCTAGTCACCGTGCGAACAATCACATGTGATATCGAGGCGATCGTCAATGAAACGGAAGTAAAAGAGGTGCGAAATCGAGCTCAAAAAGGTTCGAGGGGCGTTTCGTGGAAGGGACCGAAAAGGGTGAGACCGAATGCGTATTCACTGCACCACTGCGCGTTCGGGAAACTCGGCAGACAAGGTCATTGACTGGACATTAGAAGTAACGCAAACTGCAAGAATTAGAAGAATTGAGAGAACTGAGATTGAAGAGTGGGAGAGAGAAAGGAGAATTGTCGGAAGGCGGAGTGGGCACTGCGGAGGAAAGACTCACTGGAACATCTCCCGTTCTCTTTCCTCTCCCCACACCACCTCGAACATCATGTCACAAACACCTTTGCCGCCACCCCCTCCTCCACAATGGGTTGTTGCGCTCAACTCCCCGATGCCGCGCCCTTCAAAGGCCGCATCTAGTATTCCAGACCCTCCAGGATTCTCGAGCAGCCGGGGAGGCAAGCAGGTGAGACACCCCTATGGAAATAGGGAACGAAGCTATTAACACGGATTCTCCTAGCGCCAACAGCAGCAGCAACAGGCTACAGCCAAGAAACCCGAAGATACCGATGCGCTTAAGATGAAGAAGGCATGGGAGATCGCCATCGCCCCGTCCAAGCAGATCCCGATGAACGCCATCATGATGTACATGTCCGGCAACAGCCTTCAGATTTTCAGCATTATGATGGTTATGATGCTGTTCAAGGGTCCTATTCAGGGCTTGATTAATACCAACGCGGCGTTCGCCAAGTACGAGACCGAGTCGACACATTCACGTCTGCTAGGAGTGAAGATTGTCTACATGTTGATGCAGCTGCTATTGTTGGCATTAGGAATTTGGAAGGTTAATGCGATGGGTCTATTGCCGTTAGTTTGCCTCCTTCGTCGATGTCGTTCATTGCTAACATATACGGCTAGAACCACGAGATCGGATTGGCTAGCGTGGGAGTCGGAACGTCAACCCTTGGAGCATGCCCATTTTGCTTTCAGGTGATATAATATGATATTGAGATGCTGTTTGGATTAGGCAGATTGAAATGCAGATGAGAACCTTTCATATCGTGACCTTCTGCCTGGTGTAGTATCAGCTCTATAAGCATGCAATACATGTTCTAACCTTCAATGGGCGTGAACATATAGATACTGATCATGGTTATATTGAACATAAGATTTGCCAAACACTGGCCAAAATCTAGTTAGACGCAAGGCGTTCATCGGCCAGGATCGGCGCCAGGATCCGCTACGCTGCAGAAACCGGTCCTTTTCATTCTGCAGATATATGCATCTCGATCGTCATTCCCAAGTACATGTAGCGTTGGACGAGAGGCGAAGCCAAGATGTATTTATAAGAAATCAGGGGCCTCGTGGCTTCTTAGATCTTCGAAATATTCGTTCACAACCAACTCTTCTATTTTCTATTGTTTCTACCCCTACATTTTTCTCGTCAAAATGGGCTGAGATATGACCAAAGATACTTTCACAAAGGAAGAATCTGCGATCGAAAGCGCACAGGCAAGTGAAGATGCCATCAAAGCCCCAGGCTCAATTCCCAAAGACGATTTCTGGCAACCCGAAGAAGGGAGGGGATGGCTGAAGTTAAGCAAAAGGCTTCAGGCAAAATGTGAAGTGGCTCTCTCAAGGAGGGCCATGAAATTGTCTCGCTGGATCAAAACAGATGATTCTCGAAGAGTACGAGACAGCTAGTGGTGACCATTACTTTTCTGAATATGCCGCGCATCTCACAGCGAAAACCATCTCGGACGTGGTTGTGAGATATAACCGTCTGTCCGAGGCAGCTTTACCTACCACCATCGACGAAAAGGCGGCAGCTCTACTCTAACGGTGCGACGATAATCCAATTGTCGACCACATGTGACCGACAAAGTTTCGCAAAACAAAGGAAGAATATGAATCGACCATCGCAGATCTCTTTGCCTTTTCTTGTGTAGCCATTGCAAGAAACGCATTGTATGGCGCTTTTGATGCATACGAGGATCTCGATGGTCGGTTCATCCGGCTTATTGACTACAAGCGCAAAGTGATGAGTGAATGGCAGTCTCCTTAAGCATGCAAGCGTTGATTCGGTCTTTGGGATAGTATCCCACTAGCCCAGTGCTCGCATTAGAGCTCAAAATTGACGTCAACTTTCTAAAGACGTATGATGCTCTCATGAAAGAAATATTTGAACCATCTTCGTGATCTCGAGCAGGAAAGACGCAAGGCCTTTCCGGAAATGGGACAGACGAAAAGGGCAAGGACCGTCCTCTATCGGTAGAAGAGCGCTTCCCAAACCGAATAGGAGGAGTCCTGAAACATATCGAAGAACTTCCAAAGTTGAAAGAAAAGAAAGGGTTCACGGAGTCATTAGCGAAGGAGTTATTATCGATATTCCAGAATAATGACAACATGAAAGCCTGGTAACATGTTCAACAAGTTCGGAATGGTCTGCAGATCTGAAGGGCTTGACTTTTCAGAAAGACCTTTTGAAATCACAGGCGAAGGACCGCATGTTGTTAGGCAGATAGCTAGAGACTGTTTGCAAAGCAGCGGACGACAAAGCGACGGAAGAGATTCGAGCAGTGAATGAGACGATCCAGCTTTTAAAGGCCAATGGGCGACATGCATTGACGATGTACGAGCTGAAAGATGAGATAGAGTTGTGTGGATAGGAGTCTGAATTTTCAGCTTCATGATTCACACTTTTTGAGTTGCGTGTTCCTTTGGTTTGCCTCCTGTCGACGGAGATTTAGGTAGATTTGGATAAGTTATGTGCCAAGAAAAAAGTTGACATGACACTTCGAGATAGCATTTCAGGGTTTGTTTACTATTGTATTGAGCGAATCAGCTGCCTAATTCGAAAGAAAAAGTTGTCACTTCTCACTTGTTAGTGCACCCTCACTCCCAATCTTCTTAGCTTCCTCCTTCAAACGACGCTCCTCGCGCCATTGAGGTCCCCTCTGAATAACAATAATAAGCAGTGGCGTCGTAGCCAGCATGACAAGCGCAATGAAAGTAAAACACCAGCCCCGACCCATAGCCGAAAGCATAGGATCAATCAGCGCCGTAGCACCAGCACCTAACAAACAACGCCCAAAATTATTAGCAGCAGTGGCCTTGGCCGCTTGTGTCGGGTATAGATCCACCAGTAGTGTACTGATAGTATTGAATGCACCCGTCAAAGTCAATCCCATGAGGAACAGGATACATGTTGGCGCGGCAAGATGAATTCCATAGTTCAAAAACCAACCGAAGACAAGGACGCTGAGACTTCCCAATGCGAGAAGAGGGAATGCAATCTGCAAGCGAGCCTTTTCAATGGGGAAGTTCCGTAGGTCGGTGTGGCGGTTTTTGATTAAGGGGAAGTTCAGTTGCTTTGCGAGGCGGCGGTAATTATAGTCCAGGAACTTGCCATTCCCGATTGAAGCGATGGTAGCACCGAGGCCAAATGGAATGTAGCAGAGACCGACTTGGAGATCGTCCAGACCATAGAGCTCATTGTAGATGGAAGGAATGGTTGCGCTGACATCGTAGAATCCTGCAAAAAGAATGGCATTGCAGAAAAGAATGATACCTGTATCTTTTTGGAAGACAATGGCGAGTGTCTGAAAAGGATTTGGGAACTTGAGTTTTTGCTTTGAGGCATTGGTAGGAGGAACAATCCCGTCTTTACAGGCTTTCCTCATTTTGAGGTAGCTGATCAGGGACATGTTCCATTTTTGAGGAGGCAGTGATCCATTACCGACAATGCCACGAGCTGTTTCTGGGAAGAAGACCAGGAAGGGCACCATGAACGCACCAGCAAAGATGGTCAAAAACCAGAAGATGGCGCGCCACCCCAGGTATTGAGATAGTAAACCACCAATCACTGGTCCTACTGAGGGTCCCATTAGGGATCCAGCAGTCACGAACCCCATGTAGGAGCCTCGTTGAGATGCAGTGGCCACATCGGAAACCACGCCAGATGAAAGGGCGATGGTGGTACTGCTACCTGCACTCTGCAGACATCTGAGCACGAAAAGAGCTGCATAGTTACTCTGCAAAGCAAGTCCGATATTAGCTGCGATATATATAGTGAAGCAAACAAAGTATGCAGGTCGTCGTCCAGCCTTGTCTGCAAAATCACCAATGAACATGGGTGACAGTCCTTGAAATATCTGTGGTCTAGTCAGTTACCACATAGTAAAAACATAAAAGGATAGGAAGATCCACCATATAGCTTGTCAAAGTCAGATTGATCAAGGAATTAGACACATGAAGATCCTTCGCTAAAGTGTTCAAAGCGGGAAAATAGATCTGAGACGAGACGGGCGAGAAAAAGCCAGCCCATGACGCCATAAAGACGATATAGCGCCGCTGGCTATCAGTGAAGACCGAATAGTCGACATCAGTGACATCTCTGATTTCAGTTGCTGCCTTCGGCTGCGATTCTGGGTCTTGCGCAGAGGGTTCTTGTATTTCCTTTTCCGTCATGGCAGACGTGGAGGTTGCAACCAACCACCAGGAGATATGCCCCAGAGAGATGTGGGTTAACGGAATCAAAAGTCATGTTGCTTTTTTTTCCACTATCCCCCATGTGGAGGGGCCCATAGCTTGGCCATTTAATTGCGGAGTTAATAAATGGGTGCCGAGAAGCCGAAGCTTTGCTTTTGGACGCTTATCGGCGGATTGAGCCGATCAGCACCGAAGGCGTTCTTTTAAGCAATGGGATACAATATGATATAAGCAGTGTGACTGTCGTAATTTGAGGATCTGATTGTATTTCTTTGCTCAGCTTGAATATGGAGTCGTGCTACATGTACCTGCACTATGAAAATCCTTCCATTTCTCCGGAGAAACGGTCTCGGAGATTGGGCTTATGTCCGATGTATAGGCCGAATGCGACTAACCACGAGCTTTGACTGCATCTTTGCACGCCTGCAAGAATATTTGAGAGAATTCCCATACTTCGGCATAGGTGTTGTACAACGGTGCAGGGGCAACTCTCACGACGTCTGGCTTCCTCTCGTCAATTACCACACCGTTCTCCTCCAACTGATGTAGCACATGATCTAACAATCCTGGCTGGAGACGTAGACTGAGCTGAGCACCTCTCTCGGTTGGGTTTGAGGGTGTGATAAGGGTAAAGGGCTTATCTTCTGGTGGCGCATCCAGAGGATATTTGAGTAACAGGTGTTCCAGGTAACCTGTGATGTTCAACGATTTTTGTCGGATCTCTTTCATTGTTGCCCGATTGAAAATCTCGAGGGATGCGACGACAGCATTGATGTCCAGAACAGAGGGATTTGATAGCTGGAAACCAGCCGCTCCGGGTTGTGGTTGGAATTCTAATTTGTTAGTCTTGGATCCTGCATACCAATACAACCTTACGTACTATTTTCCATATTGAAGCGTGTTTTGATGTCTCCCCCCACCAGCCAGAGAATCGAGGACGGAATGTATCGTCGCTGTCAGGTTGCTTCTCATCCACGCGGCCGTGGCGCTCATGGACAAATATACCAGCCATTCCACCCGGTCCACTATTGAGATACTTGTAGTTGCACCAGGCTGCAAAGTCCACGTTCCAATCGTGAAGTTGAAGATCCACGTTGCCCGCGGCGTGAGCACAGTCCCAACCGATCATTATTCCCTTTGAGTGAGCGTGTGCTGTGATCCGTTCGATGTCAAAGTATTGTCCCGTGTAGAACTGAATAGCCGAGAGGAGTACAAGTGCCGTATTGGAAGCATTGTCATCAATAACTTGAAGGATTTGTTCCGTACGGAGTGTAGGCTTATCGAGACTCTCGGGCTCAATCAAAACCATGGCCTCCTTTGGGTGAAAGTTGTGATGACGGATTTGAGACTCGACTGCATACTAGGTATCGGTGTCAGTACGAATAAAGAGCCAATGAGTATCATAGGTGGCTACGGCTGTCAACATACATGATCACTGGGGAAGGCCTTGCCCTCCAGGATGATTTTGAACTTCTCTTTTGTTGGACGGTAGAAGCTTGCCATTAACAGATGTAGATTGGCAGTCAAGGTACCCATCACTGCCACTTCACTTTGAGAAGCACCTACGACAGGGGCCATAAGTTTGGCACCTGCGGTGTCCACGTCAACGAAAGGAGGCAGTAGTTCATCTTCATGCGGCACAAAGTGCCCGGTCACGCCCTTGGTTGCCCAAGCTCGTAGATACTGCTCAATATACCTGCGAGTGCTGTGAGGTTGAACTCCCAAGGAGTTGCCACAGAAGTAAATGCATCTTGGGTCTGATTCTTCATTGCCTACTGAGAAGTCAGCAAATTTGAAATTCAGAATAGATGGTCGAAGGTCGAATTCTAATACTCACCCTCATCAACCGCGAGTGTCTTCCTCTTCAAATCCTTTTTAGACGGAATGATAAACTCATTCCGAAAAGATCGGAGTGGATCTTGTGCATCGAGAGCCTCAGCATACTCTTTCTTGTATGATCTGATATCATCCGTGTAGTGCAGCGGAGGACCGCTTTTAATATCCCGAACGTGCTGTCTGGAACCCATGGCTGCGAATCCAGATTGGAACAGGTAGATCAACCTGATATCGTCACTTACACCTGTAAGCTGCAGTTATTGAGGCTTGCAGACGTGCAACTGCCTGCAGTCCCCCACCATTCGACGATCCCTTCCCGATCAAGACATATTCTGCCACCCTGCTCCGACCAGTTCTGACCAATGGCGTCACTGCCGAAATGACTAAGAAGCAATCAGGAATGGGATGATTTGATATCTAAGCACATCGACCTTTCTTCTTGAGCCTCTCTCTTCCACATATTCTATATAAAACCACATCATACCATGCCCCGCTCTCTCTTATCATCCACAGCTGCTCGGCGGCTCTCGCAAGCCCCAGCTTGCCGCCTGTTCTCAACTTCTCGTCCGGCTTGCCTCTCCGCATTCTCCGACGGCCAATTCCTTTCTCGCCGGACAGCCACTGCACCATTTATTCGAGGCTTTGTTGGACGCTCCCCGATTTCTCGCTCCCTCCGCCAGCGCTACGTTGAATTTTCATCCTCCTCCATTCGCCCGGCCACCACGGTCACGCAAAATCCGAGAACCGGAGATGACGGGGAACCACTTGAGATTGCCATTTCGCCACGGGCTGTAGAGGTACGTTTATGATGGTTTTTTTGCAATATGTTTGCTTTTGCTTTTTTTTATATACTGCAAGGCGTGTGCTGGGTCTTCTGGAAGCCGTCTGAGCTGCCTCGGGAAAGTGTTTGGTGCTCTGGTCACTTACTTCACTTGGAGTGGACGGCCAGATACCCGCGCTATCTACTCTCCAGCTGCTCTTTCAAGTACATGCGACCACAGGGTGTGGAGAACAGGGCTTCCCGTCCGCTCAGCCGTACTTAAGCCACACGCCGGTGAGTTAGTAGTTAGGTGGGTGACCACTAGCGAATCCTCACTGTTGCATGTATTTTTTTTTTTTTTTTCAGCTCGTGCATTCCTGCTGCGATTGTGTTCTTTTTCGTCGTTTCAATGTTGTCTCCAAGTCGATGTACTGTCGAAGACCAAGCTAACCCAGCACAGCGTCTCCGCGAAATCACAGACCCAACCACCTCTCCCTCCGCCATAAAAGAAGAGAACCCCTACCACCACCTCCGCATCACAGTTACCAGTGGTGGATGCCACGGTTTCCAATATATGATGTCCCTGGAGGGCGCCTCCAAGATCGATCCAGAAGAAGACACGATCTTCCAAGGCGAGCCCGATGCCTCAGAGGGTGCAGCAGAATCAGCCGGTGATGCGAAGGTTGTTATGGATGAGCCCTCGCTCGAGCTGCTGCATGGCAGTACTGTGGATTATACCACCGAGTTGATCGGAAGTCAATTCAAGATCGTTGATAACCCCCGTGCTACAAGCAATTGCGGTTGCGGTACTAGCTTTGATGTCAGTGATTGATTGGGGAGGTTGTTGGGAGATTTTTTTTGCCTTCATGTAAATCATATTGCATACTGTTCACCGGATAGGTAGTTTAATTGCATGCTATACCCCTCTTCTCTTATATATTCATGTTTATTTGGATGTGGTCTTGGGTTTGTCAATGTATATAGAGCTTGGCATGAGGCTGACGGAACGTGGAATATATATAGCGTTGCTATGCCTTATTCAGACACGTTGACAAATCCTAAGGTGGCAAAGATGTTCACTGAAGAAGTTGTTGATTTCGGGTTGCCACGATAGACTACATGTAGCTGTAACCCTAAGTCTCGGTCTTGTATGATCATGAAGTGATCAAGCAGGTACCCAAGTTAATAACTAGAATGGACAGGGCGGGTGTATGTAGAGTATCTCGTTGATCTATTGCTTCATCAAGTAACTGCTTTTTTCTCTACCTGACACAAATACTCTCCCTGCTGTGTAAACCACACTGTCTTCAAAGAGACAGAGACAGCAAGACCAGGACAACACATGAAACAGCGGACGCCCACCAAAGAAATTGCGATAATCCAACTTGATTTTGAACCGACCAAGAAGCCTTAGCTCCTTCAGGTCCACGGGACAGATGACACTCGAACAAAAAAAGTAAACAAGAAACGGAGAAATGGGAGTTGTGGGATCCGTTAACAGGGCAACAGGGGAGGGGCAATGAGTATAATATTGGAAATGAAAACACAAAGTCGGCAGAGAAAAAGAAAGAAATTCATCTCAAGTCATGTCCGTTCCTCTTCTTGTAAGCAGAAGGCTCTCACCGCTCTTCGCTTTTTTCTTTTCAACTCTCGGCACACTTATGAGACACCGCTTAGTAGACGCGGGCTAGGTTGCGCAGGTACCAGTCGACCAGACGGCGGCCGGCCTTGGTCTCGCTAACGTGGATCAGGTCGTCCTCAAGAGCGTAGTCGAGGTCGTTGGCAATGGCGGGCTCGCCATCCAGCAGACCACCCTCGACCCAGCGGATCTGGCGGCTGCGCTGCTTGTTAACCAGCAACCAAGAGCGGAGCTGCTCGGGGGACACCTCGAGGAAACCGGCAAGCTTCTTGAGGTCCATGGTGGTGTAGAGCTTGAGATAGGAGCGGATGGTGGGGTTGAAGAGAGTGTTCTTGACCTCGTCCATGAAGATGGCAGTGTGGTGGTCCACGGGGTCGACATTGGAGGCGGGGTTGTCGAAGTCGGGAGGAGTAGGGTTGATGAACTTGGGGCAAGAGGAGCGGAAGAGCTCCTCGAAGACGGGGAGGGCCTCGGGCCCACCCTTCTGCATACGGTAGAACTGCTCGCCGTACTTCTCGCGCAGAGCGGAGTGGATGGTGTCATCCAGACGGGTGGGGTGGAGAGCGACACAGATGGCGATCAAGGCGTACATCTGGTCGTTCTTCTTGGCAATGGCGTCGTAGTTGTTGCCGCCCTTCTGGAAGTTCTTTGTCCGAGACACATACACGAGGATGTGGCTGAACATGCGGATGGCATCACCGTAGCGACGCATCATCATGTAGGAGAAGCCCACGTAGTAGTAGGTGGTGAAGTGGGCGGCCATCACGCGGGCGAACATAGCCTTCTTGTTCATCTCGATGTCGTCGAGGGTCTTCAGGGCCAAACTGAAGTCACCGAGCAGGCAGTGCACGCGCAGCAGACCGATGATCGAAAAGTATCCGAGCATCTTGTACAGAGGGCGGGAGCCGTACTCGCCGGCGACGGTAAGAGGGTCATCTCCGCGCTTTGTGGCAGCCAATTGCTCGTTGATCTGCGAGCGCTGGATGAGGGAGTACAGCACGTTCAGCACTGAGTAGCAGCCCCATGTGTTCGGGTTCTCGCGGAGAAGCTGGGCCTCCTCCTCGTTAACTCCACCGCAAGCCACGCGGTTCCGGTAGCGGCAGAAAGATTCGAATTGGTAGATGAACTCATCAATAACATCCCAAGCCCAGTAGTACTGATAATGAAGAATGGTATCGTTAGTTATACGTTTTCCCTTTCAAGAATAGCTTAACCTGTTGATTCCACAAATGCCAAGCAATTCGTTTCATTCATGGCATTCAACAATGGTCGGTGAGGTGGACCACCTACCGAAGGAACCTCCAAGTCCACGGGGCCATCCGAGTTCAGAATGTAGTGGAAGAGACTGCAGTAGTTGTCGTAGCTGGCGAACTTGGTCTCGAGAGTCGCCTGGTATTCCAGCGGGGTAGCAGCGGCAGCCAGCTGAGCCTGGAGATCTTGGCCGGCACCACCGTTGGATGTCGTGCGGTCGAGCTCGCTCATGCCATCGTCGAAGTTGACCTGCTCACGGTAGTCGTTGACCATAGCCTCCTCCTCAACGTCGGACTCATCGTTCAGGTTGGGGCGCGCATTGGCGCGCTCGTCGTAGGACATATTGGGTATGGGAGGAAAGAGAAGGATAAAAATCGAAGAAGAAGCCGAGATGAGACGGCAAAGGGAGGGGGGTGGGGAGGGGTCGGGGGCGTCGGCGTGTGCGATTTGCCAAAGACGAATTTTGTGAGGGTTTTCGCTAACCTCAGTGTTTGCTTATCTGTTATCGGGATGAGTAAGCAGTCTTTACTCCAGGGTTTGTATGCTTGGGTTTGTATGTTTATTTCGGATTCAGATGTATCAAAAGAAGAATGTAGGTGCTTGAACTGCTAGAGGGAGTGTACAGTTTCAATAGAGAGAGATATCTATATTTTGCAAATATTGCATCCGACTCGATACTATAAACTAGCATCACACAAACGGTCTGACACTTCGAAGCTACCTAAACATCAATAACCTGGTATTCCTCCATATATACCCTCTAAACTTGCGCTTCTATTTGACTTTAATCGATCCTCCCACTTCTACTATTTGACTATTCTTCATTCCACGGCTGGGTGTGATATGTAGGCGGAGAATCGCCGGCGGCGGTGGCACAACAAAGTCGCCTTCGAAGTACCAGCCTTGAAACATCCTCCTTCACCTCTCGTCATATTCCCTGCAACGCGCTTGGAATTACATTTTCTGCTCAATGGAAATGCAGTGTAACTTCTCAAGAAGACATCCGGGTGTTGTTTCCGGCTCAGCTCCGCAAAGCGGGAAAGAGACATCGGCCAGACATCCTTGCTGCAACTACAGAACAAGCTAACCACTAGCCTTGAGGAAAGACCACTTTGCCCTCCCTTTCAATACCACTCATTCAAGCCTACATGGTGACATGTCTTGGTATTCGACCTTGAAGCCAGGGAAGAAGAGACGGCTCACACTGGCCAACACCAACGGTAGGTACCAAGGACCAAATTCATGACATTGGTCACTTATAACACTGTCTGGGGAGTTTCAACATCTTCGTCGGAGCTTGCGCGCTAGCCTCCAGTCACTTTTCGGTCAACACCATATTATCACTCTCTTTGATTGTATTGGTGTCGCCCTCATGATTCACATTTTCCTTTCGCGTCGTCAAGTCTGCACCGCCAGCAACATCAAAAAACAATATATTTTCTGCCGGCATTATTTCGTGATACAAATAGGCATTTACACGGACCACACTGAGGCTCACGCCTCACGTCCCTCCCAGTGCTCTGGGTCATCGAACAGTGCAACGGCCTCGGACGGTAGCTTGAGGTTTTGGCTTAGTGTCTGGGCACGAATCTCATGGATTTTGTCAGCTGTTCGCTTGAACCTTTTGCTGAGAGCGGTGCCAAATCGACTGAGCTCAACAAATGCTTGTCTTAGTTCGTCACTGTCATCCAGCTGGCAAGCTAGAATCCGAAGGCCTGTCTGGGTGGCATCAACCATTTGACTGGGTATGTGCTTGAGACCGTACGACTCGCGGTATATACGAAGACATTGCGCCATCTCCTCAGCGGCATTGATCTGGTAATACCAGGCCTGTTGCAGGAGTCGTGGCTGACGAGGGTCATTCAGGATATCAAAGAGGGACATGATGGTGTGAAGGCATTTGACTCTTTGAAAAGAAAATATCAGCATAGGGAACAGGCTCTAACGTGAGTGAACAGAAAGAGCTTACCGCATGAGGAGAACTTGTGGAATGGGTTCACGCTCCAATTCAATCACCTGAGGCCAACGTCCTAGCCAAGCAGTCAACCGATCGAATGGACCCTCAGCCTGTCTCCATAACTCTTCAAAGGCGGTACCCCGACCTTTTTGGAAAATAAGGTTCTGGACATCGATTAAGACCTTGGTGATCTGGGCCATTCCTTCCCGAACACCTGGAAGGCATGCTGGTCTTTTGTCATATGTAATTTGGTTTGAGCGAGGATATGGGGTCCAGTCAAAATCCTGGTCGCCACATAGCTTGATATCCAATGCCGGGTACACTATGGCAGGAACCCACTGCAGCTCCAGTGACAATTCCCTGCGGGAACTGTTAGTCGCTGCTTTTATCCATGAGTCTCTGGGCCGAAGGTGTTACTTACGAGCTCAAGTGGGAAATTCCCCAAGCAGTGATTGTACGAACACGTTCAATCTCAGGCAGCATCTTGTTTTTAGGTCGAGACAATGTGGAGACATCGAGGAGTCCCATTTCCTCAGCCAAGCGAACAGCCTGCCGAAGCATCAACCAACCTTGTTGAACTTGTCCCTGGAATTTGAGCCTACCAATACAATCAGTCTTTCTCATCAAAACAACTATTCTACCGATGAATGGGCCACATACACACAGCACATCAAAAGCAAAGCTTGGATGTTTGTCAAATTCGCGCGACCTTTTTCGGCTTTCCACAATCTTTCTGCTTCACAAAAGAAACTTCGGCCTCGTGAAAATGCATTTCCGGGATTTGAAAGGACATCAGGGCTATCGGAATAGGCCTACTGGGGTCAGAAACATGACAATCTCAGAAATAGGGCAACTGCATCATACACTGGCCATTGATAAAAGACTGTTGACAAGGATAGGTGCACAGAATTCCGAGTTCAGGTTTCCGCGCCGCATATGCGCGATAAAAGCACCCTGGTCAAGGAACTGAGAGCATGGATGATCCCAGGTGAAGTAAAGCGAAACAAGGTGGGAGACCAAATAGTCATCGTCCGTGACTTGCGTCCACGGCTTGGCCTGCACCTCGAACAGCGGTATATCACACAGGCTTTCCAGTGTGATACGTGCGTAAGAGCTGACTGCTGGTTGTTGAGGAAATTCGACATGTATCTCTTCTGGAGAGCTTGTTATGTGGCGAGGATCTGAGGCCCGTCTCGTTCCAGTTTTTAAAGGTTCCACGGGATAGTCTTGATCATCCAAGATCGCCAGGGCATTAGCCCCATGGCTGTCTTCAAACTTGGTGGCAGGACTTCCGAGAACGCGGGCGACTTCTTCCTTTGAGACACTGTTTCGAATGATGCCCACAACCTTGTCGCAATCGAATTGATCAGCTGATCGGATTGTGTCTAACAGAACATTTAACAGGTCTTTGTGATCGGTCAGTTCTTGGATTGTGCGCTTCACGGCTACCTTGCGCCTAAGGTCTCGACTCGGATCAAATAGGCATTCGAGGTTGGAGGCACTACAGGCCTTGCATTTACCGGGTGGTCCAGAACACTAAACAGAAGTGCAAATTACGATTAGCAAATTCCATCGATTTGGGTGTTTTTCATGAATATCCCGGGACGAGTCTCGAATGAAAGCAAGCGGAGAACCAGCTTACCTTTCTCTTTGCCGCCTTGCAGGCTAAACACGCCGTGGAGTTCTTCTTTGGTCTGCTGACACCCGTGGAAGTATGAGGAGCACTTATTCGTGGCGGCCCCGGAGCCAGTGCCGGTAGTGACTTCGTGTTGTCTGGGTGGCTCATGATCATGATCAAAATCAGCCCAGCGGGATGTTATGTGCAGAAGTTTCTGTTTCGAACAGGCTAGGCTAGGTAAGCCAAAGCCCAAGTCTTGACAGGTGCAATATGGTGATAAAAATCAACACCCGTTGCTCTTTCTTGCAAAATGTTGTCAGGACGAACAAATCCGGTGCCGAATCACGCCTTTATTTTTCTTGCACGTCGTCTTATGTGTCATTAAAGACGGTCTCTTCAGAGCCTCGCCGGTTCAGTATCAAAAGGTGTGTAAAATGCCATGTCGTGAGGACGAGTATGGCTCGGTGCGGCGGCTGTGTTATGTATGACGAGTGTGACAAAACGAAAAGCCAGCCGTTCTGAAATCAGTCGAAGTGATCAAAGTCGACATGCAGATAACAAGATCCCAGAAACAAGGGGGTCGCGTTGGCAAACAGAAGGGGTGGGGGTTCGACGCCTGTCACACAGCCAGGGTAGCCCGGTGGCCCAATGTCGAATGCACAAGTGATTTGAGGACTAGAGATACAGCAGCTCGCCAATCTGGGATGGGTGGTATGCAGATGGGCAATGGAAGACCTATCGAGACGAGGCTAAATGAGAGATGGTGAGATTCAGCAGGTCCAGGGCAGCTATGGAAAGACCTCGAAACAAAGAAGTGGAACAAAGGACTCGGAAAATGAAAAAGCGAAAACAAAAATGACGAACCTCAAAATTCATCAACACCAGACGACAAGGGACTGTTCCCGTGGCAGTGGTACCCAATACTGTTTTGATGCCTTTGTCGGGCTCGGTACTGCGACCGGTCATCGATCTCACAACAGCCAATCTCACCCCGTGGCTCATTTGATGCGCTCCCGTAGTACGTGAACATAATCTAGCGCATACTGTGTTTTCGCAGCTTCACATTGTTTGTGCCCTTGGCCCTATCAGTGCCTCTAGCTGGGTTCGGGCATCGCATATCTCCTGTACAGAGGCACTTATTGATACTCACAGGTTTCATGTACGCCTGACCTAAAGATGCTTACCGGAGTATCTTGCTAAACATGGATGTGAAGTTTCCAGGCCAATCACCGATACGGCCTCCAAAAGTTCCACTTGGGTCATGTGCAGGAAACCAACTGTTTTCCAGTTGCAATCGGTTTGCGTTCACCACTGCCAAATGCGCGATACCTGCAGAGCTTGCTATATAGCAATCTTGATTTCAACCCAGACGAGTCAGGAAAACGAATCCTAGGTTTGCAGTTCGTACGAATGGGCAAATTCCAACACACTGGTTGATGGGACCACGAGACATGCTCCTACACGGTGTGATACGGAGTACAAGTGGCAAGAGATGAAGTGGACGTACCGGTACTTTGGATCAACCTTGTACCGCCCCAATCACGGTGGATCGGCCGGAGTAAAACGCCCAGGGGAAAAGAACCGTCACGAAATTTCCATCCCAGATATACATCCCGGAAGATGTAAGCCTGAATTCTAATCTGCCATGCAAGAAGTGATTGGGGGTATATAGGATCAAATGGTCCAATTCCCGTCTCTCTCTACTCGCGGTCAAGACGCCCCCCTTGGAAACAGATTCTCCTTTTGAAAACCTCCACAAATTATTCTTCCGTCATTTTTTATTGGTGGTTAATACCCGACCAATCGGATTTTGCATGTTGAAAGCCCTCTGTGAGATTCAGTATCTTGGCAGTTTGTTGCTGGGACCTGAAACGATTGACCTTGTCTACACCCTTGCTGGCGACACGCAAACGATGCCGGTCGCACAGGAACACTATGAAGACCAGCTGAAGGTGCAACGAAACCATTTCCGCAGCGGTCGAGGTACATTTTGAGTGATTCACGCAAACATCGTGAATTCGGTACTTTGCTCAGACTATGCAGGCCCGTTTGAACTCCTGTGGTTCGTCATCGTTTCTCCACAGATCATAAGATATACTTACCGACACCAGAAAGAGCCAGCCAAAAGCAAAATGAAAATAGGGAGCAAACTTCCGGGCCTTTAACCGAATTATAGACACTAGTTGCATGCTGTGGGACACCCGCTCCCCCAGTCGTGGACTAAAAAATATAGATCCAACAGGCCCAATTGTGTACTCTGACTAGGCCTAATACGATAAAGCCACCTGAACAATCCAAACTATCGCTTCCATCGGAAGTAGATCTCGTGCGCTTGAAATATTCCCAGCCATGGGGGATACCAGGATCTAAATCCCGCGACAGGGCCATGCGGCTGAGATCCCTCTTTGTGCCGTGTTTTAGGCAGCGATAGACTACCGACAGGATGGAAATCCCCTGCAAGTACTGTTTTAGTGTGTAAGAATAGCTGCGATGTAACAACACTTATGAATCCCCTTGTCACTTGCATGGTGTGATAGATGAAGCCGAGGGATACAGATAGACTAAAAAGAGAGAGAGAGAGAGAAAGAACAAAGAAACCAGTCTTGCAGCGATTAGCCGAACAGATCTGCAGACACGGAATTGCCGCGTCTATACGATACCGCACTTCATGGGCAAACTAGGGCTGATATACGGAAAAAGCAGCCGGACAATCCTGGTTGGCTGTATGTTTTCCCCGGCATCATACCCCCCCCCCCCAACTCCCTTCATTTTCAGTTTCTCTTTTCCGCGTGTTGGTATTGGTTGGGTTTTTCTTCCTGATAATTTTGCCCTGGATATTTTGCATCATATTGCATCTTTATTCACATGTCCTTTTTGATTTTCTCTAGTTTCAGAACATGACACGTCTGATCTGGCTTTTCCAAGGCCGATCTAGAGTGTTTCACTTTTTGCTGCCACTGCCCGCGACTGCATTGCGGCTGTCTTAGTAGTATACCTAATATTGAGGTCATAATGCAGATCGTTTCGCTAGTCTTTTCCCTTTTCCCGTTCCCCTCGTTTCTTTGTTCCGTTTGATTACACTTGTCCAGGGGGCTTCCCTGCGCAGGGAGATTGGGTATTGGATCTTGGGTTTGACGTCCGTGTGAACAGGGCTGTGGGGACGGTGTTGCACCGTTGTTTGCTATATTGTTCAGCCACCCACGAGATCGGACATCGGATCGCCTAGGTCAATGCGCTGTTGTTACCCGAGTGTTGGTGTTGGTTTGTTTCGGGGAGTTGATCGTTTCTGAGGATTGGGCCTTGTTGGGCTTGATTTTGACTTGGTTGGTCTGATATCAGGGTATTATTGACTTGAAAAATGTGATTTAAGACTTTGATGTGTACGGTTTGTTTGGATGCTTTTGAAGTGGGCCGATATTCAACCTAGCTTCCTATTTCATGCCTCGTGGCGAGGCTTGCGGTAGGCTTGTGCACTCAGGTGATAATTCAGGGATTGTTTGCTGCTCTAAGTATTATGACGGATGCCCAGCAGCGCTGACGTAGTACACAGTAAGCTCGTGGAGATACCATGTTTGTCGATGCTCACATAAGGAGTACGAAATATGAAGGTTTTTTGAATGACCTAGTTGTTGAAATTATTATCAACTGTTTTGTAGGGATCATCTATCCTCGTGATGACCCCCAGAACCCTTCTAAATTACAAGGCTTACTAACATGGCACCCGGAATAGATTGTTTGTTGCGCAGTATCATGATTTATCTTTCGCATCTGTTACGTGGTCCATTCTGGTCGCTTGGATCTGACTGAGTCCGACTTGTCGATGCTTGGACTTGACTTCACAAAGACTATTGGATTTTCCAATTGCATATACGTCATTAATACAACAGGGGTCCTGAATGTTAATACAGTGCCACTTATGAAGGGTTGAACAGTTTCTAGACAAAAGCCCCGGATTGATTATCCCGTTTCATGCATTGTTTTGACCATATTGAACTGGGGATGGCACGCTGGCAGTTTTTCAGAGCAGACAGGTCGATAGGCTAGACACACCCACACAACGAATGGCTGCCTATCTCCAAGATTGCTGGGGCAATGGACTTTCTCTTCTTCCGGCCGCGTACTGAACTCTCACGATATCTCCATGGGATACAGGGCAACTGAGAGCACTAGGAGGAGCTATTAGATGAGATCTGTCTCACCACTACAATATCTATCCAGGGTGTGTATCAATTTCCCAACTCCTGCATCCAAACTCTCTGTATTTCTAATCCAACTAAACGTCGCACGTAAAACCAAAAGCCTTCATGTGAACTTACTCATCTGTCTAGCAAAAGGCCACAGCAACTGCAAATCGACCGTGGTGAGGACTACTCCCCGTGTCTCGCTGGGCCGGAAAAGTACAATCTTACAAGCCCAAGCCCTAAAAAGTAAGCTTCGGACTCTACCCAAAGCTTTCCCAAAAAACGAAGACTTACCTCAGTCTCCTTCGGCTGTATGAAAAGAGCCTTAGCCTCGGCAAGAAGAGACGGATCCCCACCATCAAGTTCCAGCGTCTCAATAGACCCCTCCACCCAAGATTTACGCCCCTCCATCCTGGTCACCTCAGCCTTCAGCACAATATAAGACTGAGTCAAAGCGGGTTTACGAAAATCAACATTGAGATTGGCAGTGACACCAACCCGCTTGGGAAGAACGGCCGAGCGGCATCTGCAGAAAGTATCGTCTATCAATGTCGTTATCAGACCACCGTGGATGATACCCGGATGACTGCAGCCATCACCTTCAACATGGAGGATGACGATCATGCGTTTGCCATTCGTTTCATTGAACACATATGGGGGTACTGATAGCTTCTGTGTGCCTGCGAGGGATCCCGCTAGGAGTTTTGGATCTCGAAGCATCGCGGGTCCGTTGAGATGGGGGCGGGACTCGGTGAACTTAGGGTTGGCTCGCAAGGCGCGGGTCACGGGGTGGTCTTGGATGAACGCTTCGATTGATGTGTTCGTTCTGTAGGTTGGGTTGAAGAGACGGAGAGAGCCACTTCCCGTTTTTGCAAGTCTGGTACTGGACATAGTGTAGTTTGTAGAATGTATCGCCACTTCCGACCGGAAAAGAGGGCCTCTATATGTCCTTCACATATTTTCATGAGATCTCCTTTGTGTGTGGTTTGGATGTTATTTGATTTGCTATGCTGCTAGACTCGGTGTGAGACTGCATCATCTTAGCCTATCATAGGTCCAGTCGAATACATTCTTTGGAGCAACGTGTTAAATCGATCGGGCTGACCTCAATCTTGCACACCATCAACTTCCCCTTGTATAGTCGGAGAAATCACCTAGACAAATATTATTGGTGCAGTATGATGATATAGCCGGGAGTTGTCCACCGGCAATACAGATTACTTTCCCCGATCGATGGCACGCATACACTAGGTATTCTGGGATAAGATCTGCCCCTCCTGTACTACCCAAGGTGCTTTTAGAAGAAGCCATCGGGAATGTGGAATGTATGCGAACTAAAACAGCAGTGTCGATCAGTAACCTAGAATGATTCACCAAATTCTTGTTCAGCCAATGCCATCACAGTGACATATTTGAATCCTCTCTTCTCTCAACTTCAATCCACTAGATCTTAGTCTTCTTCACACATCTCCCTTCATTCTTAAATAACAACGTGACGGTTAGCCTCGGAGGTGTCAACCGGGCCGAGTGGGCCTATAGATCGAGAACGACTATCAGCTTGTCAATTGCAGGGCGTAAGGCGTTGCGATTGGCATGTTGTACGAGCAATGGAACATGGGATTCGTCATAGCAGAAAGTAACCAACCCAATTTAGACAGTAGACTCGATTTGAGATGTGGCAATTGGCCAAAACGTGGGAGAGGCGACTCCCGCTCGGCGTTGAAAACTTTTCTCGGTCCGCCCTGATACCAGAGGGGCATTCCCGGGACAAACCGCGCAACTTTATAAGAAAGTTGGATCTCGCTCTCTTTTGGAAACATCAATCACAAGGATCAAAGAGGTACGTACGCACAATTCCTCCCTGTAGTGCGGAGGATCGTCGGTTAACCCCACGACTAGTGACTCATACCAAAACAACAGCTTGATACATCCCATAAAGCAACCTTCAATTGATCACATACACCATGGGTTCCGTTGCTCCTCATATTGCTGAGCTGGATGGCTCCAACTTCAACATCACTCGCTCTACCAACCTGCGCGATGTGCCTCTCCCCGGTTCCGCCGAGGAATTGAGCCACTCCCACTGTACTGACCACATGGTCACCGTGCGATGGACCGCAGCCAAGGGCTGGGAAACCCCCGAGGTCAAGCCCTACCAGAACCTCAGCATCCCCCCCACAGCCTCGGTGCTGCACTATGCCACCGAGTGCTTCGAGGGCATGAAGGTGTACCGCGGCTACGACGGCAAGCTCCGTCTCTTCCGTCCCGATTGCAACGGCGAGCGTCTGAACAACAGCTCCCAGCGCTCCTCGCTCCCCGGATTCAAGTTTGACGAATTGAAGAAGCTTGTTGCCAAGCTCCTGCAGATTGACGGTCCCCGTATGTCCCAAGAGCCCTGTGCGTGTCTGGATTATCATAGACGGTCACTAACAATGAGATACAGGCTGGCTCCCCAACCCAGGCTCCTTCCTGTACATCCGTCCCACCGTCATCGGTAACGGTCCCCACCTGGGTGTCCAGGTTCCAAAGGAAGCCTTGTTGTTCATCATTGCCGTCCCCTGGCCCGATTTCACCAAGATGCCCAAGGACCCCTCGCAACCCCCGAAGAAGGGACTGAAGCTGTTCGCCTCGTCGCCGGATACCATCCGCGCCTGGCCTGGTGGTTTCGGTTATGCCAAGCTCGGCGCTAACTACGGCCCTTCCCTGCAGGCTCATGGCCAGGCCCAGGCCCAGGGCTTCGACCAGATCCTCTGGCTGTTCGGTCAGGATCGCCAGGTCACCGAGGCTGGTGCTAGTAACTTCTTTATTGTCTGGCACAATGCTGATAATGGCAAGCTGGAGCTTGTTACTGCTCCCCTTGATAACCAGCTTATTCTGCCTGGTGTGACTCGTCGCAGTGTTTTGGAGCTTGTTCGGGAGAGGTTGTCTAACGGTCCTGTTGGCCAGCTTCAGCCTCTTGAGGCCGTTGAGCGGACTTTGACTATTAGTGATATTGAGAAGGCTTCTAAGGAGGGTCGGATTGTTGAGTCTTTTGTTTCTGGTACTGCTGTGAGTTATTCCTTTCTTTCTAGGTTCTTTGGTTTGTCTGGGTTTACTGACGTTATGCTAGTACTTCATTACCCCCGTTGCTATGATCCGCAATGAGAACACTGATATCAGCACTCTTGGTGTCAATGATGAGCCTGCTGGTTACGCTACCCAGATCAAGTCTTGGCTCGAGGCTATTATGTTCGGCAAGGTGGAGCACGACTGGGCCTACACCATTGAGGAGGAGAAGCAATAGAGGTGCACGCGTCATGTGCTCATGAGTTCCTATCCCCATAGACGGTTATGATTTCAAGAAGGTTAGTTAGGATGGATTGTATATAGATTTCGGACTGCATCATAGAAAAAGATCGGCTTTTCTACTATTATAGGAGGATATATCCAAACCTATACTGCTCATAAAAGGTTTAATAGATCGTTGTTCAATAGGTAGCAAGAACGCCAGTAGATGCGTCGACAAACTGAACATGAAGCATCATTAGAGAATCGTCAATTACTGTACATCGATAAACGCCGAAGCTAGGGTCATCATCCTAGCCTCGCGATTAAGCATGCGCATCTCCATCTCCCAGATCGACTATCATAGGAGCATATTCTCCAGTCTCCTCGTCTTCATCATTTTCCTCCATATCCATCTCCACCTCCTCACCATCCTCCAATTGGAGCATACCCCGACGGAGAATAGCTTCGCGATGCAGCTCCCAATCATACTCAACCTTCACCCATTCCTCAAGCTTGTCAAGCTCAACTTTGACCATGGAATCTTGTCGATCGCCAACAAGCTCATCAACAGATTGTCTCAGCTTCGTGAGCAGCTTGCGCAAGAATGACCCACCATCATATCCATCAATCTCGAAAAGTCCACCATCAACATCATCGCACCGCTGCAACTGCAAAGCCAGCAAACGCAGAACCTCACCCATGAACTCATCCCTGTCAAGAATTGCCCGCCGAGACGTGAGAATGAGCTCAAGAAGCCTCTTCCACTGCTGAAGGCACGAATAGTTCATCATAGTAAGCACCATAAGGAACGTAAACTGCAACTCTCCAATAACCTGATTCCCCCCAGAGGCGTCACCCGAATACCGATCAAGCAGCTCACCCAGAGCCCAAGACCGGTCCTGCGCAGCTTCTGTCCTTTCACGCCCAACAGCGCCTTCTCTCCACGTGCGCTTCAGATCAATCGGCAGAAATCCGAATTCGCGTTCTTGTTCCTCGCCAGCCCCAGGACCCTCCGCACCTTCCGCAGGTGAATCAACACCAGGGATATGATCCGCATCCCGGTTAGCCGTAGAAGCAGACGTCAATACCCATCTTGGGTGCCCATCAACATCGACATCAGGATTCCCGATAACGCGCGACAATAGAGCTGGCGAGATGCGATCTGTCAACCCAGTCCAATCCTTTCGCCCATTTGTCTCCGTCTCCTCGTCATCTTCAACCTGAGCCGGGGCCTGTGTCAAAGCAAGTTCCTGATCATCATCCTGATTCTGATTTTGATTCTGGTCTTGGGCTTCCTCGCCCTCGGATTTCGGCTTAACAAGCATAGACGCCGAAATCCGACTCCGATACTTGAACAATCCTCCACTCTGCCAAACAGCACCGAGGTTAGCCTTGTAGCGCATGGCCTCCTGCTTCGCAGAATCACTGTCCCCACTCAACGAAAGCAAAGACTCGGATTTGTCACTCCATTTCCAGATGTATATTTCCGGCACGAAGCTCTGATTCTGATTCTGATTTTGATTTTTCTGTCGTTGTGGTACGAGTCCGTTGTCATTGCGCCCTTTGCCTGCAGTGTTTATGTCGCCGATGTAGAACCATGCGCCGCTGCGGAGGGAGAGTGTTTCTGTTGCGCCTGTGTAGAGGAAGTGCCAGCCGGTTGGGAGGTCGCGGATGCCGTGGAAGTTGGCGGTTGAGGTGAATGTTATTAGGTCGATGCCGACGAGTGTTTTGGGGGGGAGGTCTGGGAGGAGGATTGTTGGTGTTGGTTGTTGTGTTGACATTTTGGTTGATCGTATGCGAACTTGAAGGTTCGATCTGGTAGGAGTTGGGAATGCGCGCGAACGCAGTTGAAAAGATGAGGTTGCGGAGTGTGAGTTTAGGGGACCGTTGGATACCCGCTCAAGCTAGCAATTGAGCTGGAATGCAATAAACATTATCAAGCTGCGGGTGATGGGGTTCGAAACTAAAGAGCAAGTGACGGAGGTACGTGAACAGGACTAACGGTAAGTTCATCTTCAAAGGCTTATCGACCCCGCCAGAGCTCCCCGCAGGGCCCCGGAGAAAACTTGATACATGTACTACGACGAAGGTGCTTTTACGAGACCGATAGAGCCTACAAAAACATCGATATATAGGTCAAGATATTGATTCAGATGCCAAAGACTACCTAATACAACACCCCAACCCGAGGGGGTAAAATTTTCAGCGTATGAAAAAAATTGAAGACCAGGCGATCAATGCCGTTCTTCTCGTTTATTCCATCCACAGATGCGAGAGAAGCCCGCAAATAGCCTCCAATCCAGCCAAGCAATGAACTCGGTAGAGAAGAAAGACCCAAGCTGCAAGCGCACACGCTTACAGACGGCGACCACGGCGACCACCCTTGCGACGAGTAGAGTCGGAGGGAGTGGGGGTGACGTCCTCGATACGGCCAATGCGCATGCCGGAACGGGCAAGGGCACGGAGAGCGGATTGGGCACCGGGACCGGGGGTCTTGGTGCCGTTACCACCAGTGGCACGGATCTTGATGTGGAGGGCGTTGATGCCGAGCTCCTTGCAGCGGACAGCGACGTCCTGGGCAGCCAACATGGCGGCGTAGGGGGAGGACTCGTCACGGTCAGCCTTGACCTTCATACCACCGGTGACACGGCAGATGGTTTCGCGACCGCTATAAGGCAAACTTGTTAGTCGGATGTTCTTGGTTGCATATTGCTCTGTCGCGCTCGATTCCCAACTTTTCTTTGGCTGGGTCGATTGCAAGAGATTCTGGTTCGGGGATACTCACGAAAGATCGGTAACGTGAACGAAGGTATCGTTGAAGGAGGCGAAGATGCGGGCAACACCGAAAACGAGCTTGCCTGTTCATTGTTAATACTCGTCCCTATTCTCATAATTTGTTCAACATACCATCACCGGCGAGGGGGCCGAGGGAGACGTTCTCCTTAGCGGCGGCGGGAGCCTTCTTGCTGGGGGCCATTGCGACGGTTGGTGGTTAGTGGATGGAATACGGAACAGAGAACGAAAGATCAAAATTCGATCCCACTTGGATGGGAGAAAAGTGGATGTGTGCCCTAGCGTGATGTCTGCTCTGTGATTGGCCATAACCAAGCGAGTGGATGCCTGAATTCGCAGGTCCGCGGATATTACGGGCAGAAGTCGGCCCGACGGGCGGTGAGTCATTAGCTTGGTTGCCTATTTAAAAAAATCTTTCTCCCACTCAATCTTTCTTCAGCATTGCAATTGATCTTCTCAAACTCGAGTGATAAAGCTCCGAGATTGTGATTCGAATTGGGCACGCTAGGGGAACTACCAGCTGTCTGACATTGCAGATATAGGTGTGCCGGAATGGGTCGCACTAAGGAAGATGCCACTATCGGCATCATCGGCATGGGTGATATGGGCAAGATGTATGCCAATCGCTTGAGTGCCGCTGGATGGAGGTAATTGGACATATTCCCCCTGTTCTTCAACAACACGGGCCCAGAGATGCTTCAGGTAAGCTTGTCTTTTCCCTTCTTTTCTCGCCCCCACACCCCCTCTCGAATGATGACTAGAGTGCATTTGGCTCGAGCATGGCTTGGTTGTCGCTATTACACCATTCTGGTTGATAGTAAACCGCCCTGCTGTCGATGATGTAACAACCACGCTACCTTATTTTTTATGTCTGATTCTGTTCAACCTCACTCTTATTGCTTTCACTCATGCTATTGCTTTAAAACATTGCTAACATGTGAAAAGTCTTGTAGATTCGCATTGGGTTACCGTGACCACTAACCACTAGACCTGAATTTACTAACATGGGTATTTGATATCAAGGATAAACGCATGTGACAGACCTGAGAATTATGAATCTTTAAAACAAGAGTTCGCTTCTCAAGTACGTCCCTCGGCCGGGGTTATACCGCTCAGAAGCTCATCGTATATAGCAAGGAGTCACCATATTCCCAAATGGGCATCTCGTTTCAAGAATTAGCGATTTCATTGTGTACAGTGTAGAGGCTGGAGTCATCGACAAGGTCGTGGCACAGTACGGACCATGTATGTGTCGAACCAATGCAATTGGTCTCTTCCCAGCCCAAGCCCTAGTACAGTCTGACTCTGAATCCAGCAACCAAACTCGGTGCCATCGTCGGAGGTCAAACGTCCTGCAAGGCTCCGGAGCTTGCTGCATTCGACAAACATCTGCCTGCCGATGTAGAGATCGTATCCTGCCACTCGCTGCACGGCCCCAAAGTCAACACGCAGGGTCAACCTCTGGTACGGTTGCGTCGCATGTTCCATTCTGGACCAGCACAAATGTGCAATAGTAACACCGTGATATAGGTCCTGATCCAACACCGCGCCTCGGACGAAAGCCTCAAATTCGTCGAAGAAATCCTCTCCTCGTTCGGTTCGAAGCATGTCTATCTCACCGGTGAGATGCACGACCGTATCACTGCCGATACACAGGCCGTCACCCATGCCGCCTTCTTGAGTATGGGAACTGCATGGCAGGCAAACAACCAGTTCCCTTGGGAGCATGGACGCTGGGTCGGAGGTATCGAGAACGTCAAGATCAACATTACATTGCGCATCTACTCCAACAAGTGGCACGTCTATGCTGGACTCGCCATTCTCAACCCGGCGGCCAAGCAGCAGATCCGACAGTACGCAGAGTCGGTCACCGAATTGTATAAACTCATGATTGGAGGACACCGGGAAGAGCTCAAGCGTAGAGTCAAGGCTGCAGGTGCTTCGGTTTTCAAGGCCGGCACTGAAGGTCAGGATCTCTTGTTGAAGGATGAGGTCTTGGACCAGTTTTCTCTCTCCAACCGGCCGCGCGAGAAGTCGCCCCCGAACAGCCATCTCAGCTTGCTTGCTATTGTTGACTGTTGGTCGAAGCTGGGCATTGTTCCTTATGACCATATGATCTGTTCCACACCGGTACGTCGTCCATGGAGAAGTAGTCCCCAGTGATGAGCTAATGTCTTGCAGCTTTTCCGTCTTTGGTTGGGTGTGACAGAGTACTTATTCCGGAACGACGACCTCCTCAATGAGGCCTTGGACACTGCCATTGACGACACCACTTTCCGTTCTGATGATCTGGAATTCACTTTTGCTGCACGGGTATGTTCTGAACAATCTCAGCGCCTGTGTCAGGCCAAGACCAGACTAGCTAACCTTTGTTTGAACTTCCAGGCATGGTCAGACTGTGTTTCCTTCGGCGACTTCGAGTCTTACCGTCACCGGTTTGAGCGCATTGCCGAGTACTTCGCGCCACGTTTCCCTGAGGCTGCCACTCTTGGTAACCAGATGATGAAGACCATCCTAGAGAAAACGACCTCTAACAAGTAATGAAATGATGAGGGTGTATGATATTCTTGCGATTGCATTGTTTCGGTGTATGGTAAAGCCGAGGTTCTTTCAATTTCAAGGCTGGGGGAATTGGGGATAAATTGAGATCCATGATTTTGTGCTTCAACAGCCTTTGTCGTTCATTTATAGCAAATATGATATTAGTTCAGTAGAAGGCAACAATCATGCGGTGAAATTCTGTGTCTTCACGTGCCCCAGGCCGGGGTTAAGGTACCTTAGTCATCATTGTTTCTCTCGATCAGACTGAACCAGAGTATCTTTAGTGGGAGTAGTTGACGATCACTGCTGTGTTGATTAAGTTCGCTTTCCCACCTGTCATTGCTGCTTGATCAGCGGGCATGACCGTGGCCTTCTTCTGATCTTCAGTGCGACCCGTGACTGCGCCCCTCCCTTACGCTTCCCCAGGAACCCTTGCTCTGCTCCGAAACAAGCGACTTCAATGCAGCCATACACCACCGGATACACTTGCGATAGGTGAAAGCGAAGCCTGCGCGGCTAAATGGAGCTTCATGGCTTCCGGGCACAACTCAGCATTCTCCGCGTCGACGCAGCATCGCGCGTTGGTGGATGGACGCTCTTCGCTCAGCCATGATGACAACTCAGCAAATGGCAGCTGGAACGATGGTACCCCGCGGACTGGAAGGAATGGGAGATCCGAATCTGGAGGCAGCAGCAATATGGGCGGGCGAGGGTCGCTGGCACCCTCGTTTGGCGGGCCAGGCAGCTTCAGTGCGGAGCTCAAAAGCATGAACTCCCGCAGTGTCACGCCCCGGCCAGATGGCCAATATAACAGACGTGCCAGCAGATCGATTGGCGAGGAGGATCTACACACTACCGAACAGCGTCAGGCTTTCCTTCGGAGCAAGATCGCGAAGGAAACCAAGATCAAGACCGGAACCGAGAACATGCTAGAGGCGCTACTATCGAAACCACTCAAACAAACCAAGGACCAAAGAATTAAGGTGGAGTCAGAGCTGAGCTCTTCCAACCGCAAACTGGTCGAATTGCAGCATGAGCTGGAAGAGGAACTCTTACGTGCGCAGGCGCCGGCCTCAACCCCCCCACGCAGCAGCCGCCTTTCTAGTCTCTTCCGAGGCAGTCCCATGCGCTCACCATCTCGCAACAAAGACACCGGCGGATCAGTGGACGGAGAACAACAAGACTATGGAGAGGCGGATATGGAATCGCCAACATACGTGCTTTCGGAGACACTTCAAGCGCTGGAGATTGAAGGAATGTCCCCTGATTTCTATGTTGAACGTGCCAACAGCCTAGTTGATTTGTTCAGACGACACCCTACATTAAAATATGATCTTGCATGGTCTGTATTTGGTCTCCGAGTCCAGGTGATGCTTCTGAGCGACAGCAAAGAAGTAGTAGCTGCTGGTTATCGATTGACACGGTATGCTATTGCGGACCGCAAGTCTTTGCAGACAATCCGATCACTGCATACCGATGAGCTTGTGATACTGTCCCTTGTCAAAGAAAGCAAAGCGAGCATTGAAAGGGAACAAGCTTTGAAGTTCGTACGAGGCTTCCTGGATGTCAAGGACGGCGTGCGAGAGATTTCGCGCGCCATTGTGCGGACTATTGTTGCTGTTGCCGAGCACCATGAAGATCGTCTCCGGAGCATCTCGATCATGACCTTGGCCGAGATATTGGTAAAAGACCCCGAACTGATTGCTTCGGCTGGCGGGTTCGCTGCCCTACACGATGCGCTGGCAGAAGGGACCTTTGGTGCTTCGGAGAGTCTGATCTCAAGTTTCCTGCATGTAGTGGACGCCCCGCGCAGCAGAAAGTTCTTGCAAGGATCAGAACTAGAAGCCGTTCTAACGCCTTTCACTGATTCATTATCGGATTCTCTGCGTAGTGGACGATTAAAGACTGCAGCTAAGGCCATTTCGGCGATGCTGAAGACTTGGCCGGGTCTGGTCATCCTTGCAAGGCATGACTCGCAACCGTTGCGTTCTCTCCTCGACTCGCTTCACTACGATGACCCCACAGCCCGGGACCTGATCATGGAGCTATTATTCGACGCCTTGCGGATCAAGCCTCCATCCTGGTCATCATCTTTCCTCGCAGGTAGGAGGCTCACAACCTATGGCAGAGTCTCTAACCTGCGCTCTGATACCGACCCAAGGGTTTCCCGTACCTTCATTGACACCAATAGCAACCGATTTGACCTGACAGCCCACTTCTCTACTCTCATCTTGGCTGGCTTGGTCGAGGCAGGGCTTGCAAAGACTCTTTCTGATGTCATTGAAGATGAAACAGATCTTTCTCTCCGACGCAAGGCAACCCTACTATTAACGGAGGTACTCAAACTTGCGCATCATTCCCTCCCACAATCCGTCAGTGCGAAGCTACAAGTGCTTCCTCATCTTATTCCTCCAGCCGTCAACTTTGACGTTGAAAACCACGACCTCTCAACTACAACAATCTTCCAAATCGAAAGCATCAACCGAACATTGGCTCGTTCCGGTGGATATCCCAGTGGGCAGGGCCGATACAACATGGTGACTGATTTATCAACTTCTCTATCCCTCATTCCCGGCGAGCAGGGAAAGGACAAACTAAGCCCTGCCATGGACGAGACCCAGTTCCGCAATGCCATTCTAGAGACTCACGTTCTTAACACCGTGAACTATACCAAGTGGAAATGGGATTTGATTCACCGTCTGGTTGAGGGCCCTCTCACAAATTCAAAGCGAATGGATGAGGCAATCAAAGGCTCTAAGTTCATGAAACGACTCATTGGATTCTATCGACCTTTCAAATACCGATTCGCCATGATTCCAAACACAAAGCCGAACCAGCGCTATGTCCGAACTGGCTGCGTTCTCATGCGCACTCTGGTCATGACCCCCGAAGGTACCAAATATCTGGCCGAAAATAAGTTCCTTCGTCAGGTTGCAGAGTGTCTAGCGCAGCTGGATCGCATGAGTGGATTGACTTCTACTTCCCCACTCTTCTCTCAAAAGCAAATGGCGTCCACATTGAGTGGCGGTTACTTCGCGATGTTGGGAACACTCAGTGGTGATGTAAATGGATTGCTCATGATGGAGCGCTGGCACATGCTTAACATGTTCTACCATATCATTGAGCTGCGAGATCGCAATGATCTCATCCAGACATTGCTAGGAAATATGGACTACAGTCGGGAGAGTCATCTTCGAGTCATGCTTTCCAAGGCCCTGACAATTGGCTCCAAGGAGATCCGGATCTTCGCAACCAGAATTCTCCGCAAGTATGCCGTCGGTGATGTCTCACTATCCCCTCATGTGGCGATTGGAAATGCGGAATGGGTGGTCAAGCTTCTCGTGACTCAACTTTACGATCCCGAAGTCACTGTTTGCCAAGTCGCTGTTAAGATCCTGGAAGAGGCATGTAACCAGCGTGATTACCTCGAATTTGTGGTCAAGTGCCGGCCATCTCTCGATCATCTGGGTGAAATCGGCGCGCCGCTATTACTCCGGTTCTTGTCGACTTCAGTTGGTTATCACTACCTGGACGGCCTTGACTATATCACCCAAGAAATGGACGACTGGTTCCTCGGCCGCAACGATACCTACGTTGGCCTCGTTGAGGCTGCGCTCTCCCGAGCTTATGTTGAACAACCTCGACGTGGAAGCTTTGCACCCGAAGATCTGGTGGACCTCCAGGATATTGGGTTGGTACCACCGCATTTCTATCGCGAACTTGCACGCACTGCCGAGGGCTGCAAGCTGTTAGAACAATCGGGCCACTTCAACGAATTTGCCTGGACGATTCGCGATTTCAGGCTGGATGAGGAAGAGAACGAAATGCTCCTCAAGGCTAAAGGATGTCTCTGGGCTGTTGGCAATGTCGGCTCAATGGAGCTGGGAGCGCCATTCCTTGATGCAGAGATTGTTGAACGAATCGTGGAAATAGCAACAAGTGCAGGAGTACTCACCATGCGAGGTACCGCCTTCTTCGTTCTGGGATTAATCTCTCGCAGCCGGCACGGACTTAAGGTGCTGCGAGGACTAGGCTGGGATTCTGGCGTGGACCAAAAGGGAGACTCGCTGGGTCTTTGTCTTCCTACCGATTTCCGGAAGTTGTTCTTGGTGGGTATCATATTTCATCTCATTTGGCTCGTCATACTCATTTGTCTAGATTTCTTTCCCCGGTTACAATTCCGAATCGAAACGCACTCCCCCAGAAAAGCTCAAGGAGGCTACTACGGACCCTGACCCCGTTAATCAAAAGGTCCTCAAGTTGATCGTGGACATGGGCAATACCGTGCTCTCCAAACGAGCTGCGTCAGATCTTCATGGGTATGTTTGCAAATTTACTTGGCCGGTTTGCTCGCATTTACTTACCATCCCAGCTTGAAATCCAAACAACCGGAGCGATTCCACCAAGCCCATCTCTTCCGAAAAACTCTTTGCATCCTAGAAAGTCACCATTTCAGATTACCAGCTCGACGATTTGCCCTGGACTTATTCGACAAGCGTGTTCTGCGTCGGATCGTCCTCGACGAAGATTCGGACTCGGATTCAGACTCCTCGGCTACCTCCAACTCTGAATGAACCTCATGAATGCTCTCTTCTGCGGCTTTTTGTCTTGCTACTATACCCTGCACGATGGCTGATCGGGTGTTTAGCTTTTTGTACTCTGAGCGACGATTTATGCATGCCCAATCTATGAATTTCGAACTGCTTGAAACTTTGAGTTTTTTTGTTGTGCCCATATGGCATGGCGGAGTCCTTTTGAATGAGATATGATCCACAGTAAATAAATAACCCTGGTAGAAATAGTCAAAGGTGTCATTGACATATGTGGCGTTGAACCTCGGCCAGATCAGATCAGATTGTCTAAAGTTGACCCGCCCCCGATAACAATCCAATCTCCACAACACCTCTCAAAATACTCATGCACTAGCATCAGCTCGACCATATTTAAATCAACATCGCCATTCTCCCTGTGCAATGGAAGATGCAGCCGAGTCTGGGTCCCCAACGCCCCCGCACCAGAACCCCATCCCGACCGCAATGGAGAGCTCGGACATCTCCAGCTCCGAGGAACATGAGCATGCGCCCAGCGACACAACAGACGAACCTCACCTTGTCATTCGCTTGATTCAATGTCACCACTGTGCTCGGCCCTTACGTACCCCGCTTCGACTTCCGTGCGGCAATACCGTATGTCGGGAATGTTTACCCCCGGTCCGGCAGCGGACTGGTATTACATACCCCGTGGCTGAGGGGAGGGAGCAGGGGTTTACATGCTACTGGGAAGGGACTGATAGGTGTGTCGGAGAGCATTGTGTTGGGGATTGTGGCGTTGATGTCTTGCTTGGGAAGCTGGCTGGTGTTTTTGGGGGTGTACTGGCTGGGCCAGACAACATCTCTCAAGACGTCTCAAATGATGATGGTCGAAGCTTGCTATGGAGATCCAGTGAGAAGGGCCGAGTTGAAATTGCACACTTGAAGCGGCGTGGGTGGCTAGAGGGCATCTACGCCTTGGCACTGGAAGGCCGACTCCCTTCTGATGCATCTGAGGTCGTCTATAAAGATCCCCAGATTGCAGATGGACACGCAGAATCGCGAGATCTCGTGCACTACCAAGCGTTACGGGATAGTCTCCGTGCCGAGCTTGACTGCCAGGTCTGCTATGCGCTTATCCTTGACCCGATGACTACTCCTTGCGGTCATACCTTCTGCCAGAAATGTGTCGCGCGAGTCCTGGATCATACTGATCTATGTCCGATCTGTCGTCGAAAGCTTGGCATGCCAACTTCGCTGAAAGAAGAGCCTATGAATAGGGCTGTAGCGCACCTGATCGATCAGTTCTTCCCTGAACAGGTTGCAACTCGGCGGGAAACTGTTGCCCAGGATGAGATGGGCACCGACCTTGACAAGAATCTACCCTTGTTCGTGTGTACGCTGTCATTTCCTACGATGCCCACTTTCCTTCATGTCTTCGAGGCTCGGTACCGGCTTATGATTCGACGGGTGGTCGAAAATGGAAACGGAAAATTCGGCATGGTCATGGTGAACCGCCGCAGCCGGACGCAGCCAGGACAACTCGAGAATGCTCCATTTATGCAGTACGGGACACTATTGATGATCGAACGCTATGAGCTGCTTCCAGATGGTCGCAGTCTCGTGGTGGCTACAGGCATATCGCGGTTCAAAATCCTTGACTCCTCAATGCTTGATGGATATCATGTTGCTAAAACAGAGCGCGTGGATGATATCTCACTCGCAGAGGAAGAGCGGCTCGAGTCGATGGAAACCTCTGCAGAAAGTACAGAGCCTTTACCCGAAGGAAATACCGCTGAGCCTTCATTAGACTCTATGTCAACTCAGCAGCTTCTCCTCACGGCGAGAGAATTCCTCACCAACCAGCGCAGATCAGGTGCACCTTGGCTGCATCCGCGGGTTATGCTCGCATATGGACCCATTCCCACAGATGCATCCCGCTTTCCTTGGTGGTTTGCCAGCATCATGCCCATCTCCGAGGAAGAGAAGTACCGGATTCTCACCGCAACCAGCGTTCGAGAGAGACTCAAAATCTCGGCAAGATGGGCAAGGCAACTTGAAGCGCGGGACTGGTGGGTTCATGCCTTATCCTCGATTTTAGCTTCTTGATTCTAACATTTCTACACAGGTCGACCCGTTCATCGCTATACTCTGTCTTGTGACTATCCGTTCCCCTCCTCGTCTTCTGCATCATTCCTCTGCTATTGAAACCATTGTCTGCATTCTTTACATCTGTCTCGCCGAATGTATTTACGTCATTCACGCCATTCTCTTTCTCGATTTCTGTTTCTTTCGGTACTTCGGGATTGTCGACGTTTGAGACGGGCTCGTACATGCCTGATCCTGATGGTTATCCCCGGGAAGTTGGCCAGCAAGAGCAAAAAGATGAAACATATGTCCCACAAACATTTGTGATTGGTGCATTCGTGGCCATATTCCTCGCTCAGGTTGGTGTAAATTTCTTGCAAGTTGTGAGAACAGGGCGACGCAGACGTCGTATTCTGGAAATGCAATTTCCACAGCCCTTGCCCCAGCGAAATCAAACTCGAAGTCCAGCCAGAGACACTGGGGCTGATGCCAATGCTGGAGAACAAAACGTACGACCACTTGCCCCGGAGACTACCACCGTTGAGTAGTCTGTGAATCTGGAAATCTCCACTCCCCAAAAACGATGAAAGGCACTTTCGTTAATTCTGTCATATGACAATCATTTATACCCCTTTTCAACGAACCGATACGATCTTTCTCCTGTCCTTTTCATTGTCATACCTGTGGTGATCTATTGTGGTTGCCATGTACATATCGCTAGTCAATTACTACAATATCAATCTCTGCGTCCATAAGAAGACTTGTTTCGTCGGCTGCTCACCCGTACACAATAGCATTAGAGAGTACTGCATGATCATAGCATGAGCCTTGCAATAATATGCTCTCCAAGTAACGCAACAGAACGCCATGTGCATTGTTGTACGCTTCGCGGCTCTGTAAAGTGCTTACATAATCTCGTGTCTTTTGCTCGCGTCTTCTCCTTCAATCAACCACGAGCAGCGAACAGCGCGTCATGGGACAAAACTGATCATATTATTCATAATTTGAGACAAAGCCAACTTTGTAGAATCTACCCCGAGCCAAGCCAAGCCGAACAACCCCAAAAGAGCCATGACCTCGCTCTCACTATCACTAGGCCCGGCAGCCTTGATCCAGCTCCACGACGTCTTGATATGTCTAGCCAAATTCAGCGAAACAGTCGCCATCGAAGCAGAACCAGATGTTGTACGTTATATCATCTTGTGCTCTCTGAGATAATGTTCGGAAATTTTTGATCCGTGCTTCTTGGCTAACACTGCTCCCCAGCTCCGCTTAAGTGCTCTCAATTCCACCAAGACGGGCTTTGCATCCTTCGCATTTGAGAAGGAGGTTTTCTTTGAAAAGTATGCCTTCAGTGCGCGTGGAGATGGTCGCAGTGGAAGTAGTTTACTAGACCGGTTCTTTTGCCAAATTTATATCAAGGTGAGTGAGACTTCATTGCACATGCTCGCAGCGTAGTCCGTGAATAACATATCTCCTTTCTGACTCGATGCTCATATGCGATGTAGGCACTTCTGTCTATCTTCCGTGGGAGAATTGATAGAAACAAAGATACAGCCGTGGAACGCTGTGATATGGAAATCCATGAAGATTCACAGCAGACAGAATGTCGACTGACGGTGAAGATGATATGTGGACTCGGTAAGACACACTTCGCAATCGTCATGTTTCCTCTTGCTGATATATGCTTAGGTGTGATCAAATCGTACAAGCTCACTTACGAGCCAGCTGCCATCCAACATGCCGTCTTCGACAAATCAAAGGCTACAAGCATGTGGGCAGCCGATCCAAAGTTTATAAAGCAGCTTATCGATCACTTCAGCCTATCAGCCGAGCAGCTAGACATGTACTCCGATTCAAGCAGGGCAGTATTCACGAGTTTTACAACAAAGATTATGGAAGGCAAAGGTATGCATACATCTGTCTACCTCTTCTGTTTAACTTCCGCCACTAACCCAAAGCAGAAGTTCTCAAACACCCAGTTCATACCTCCGTCGCCGCCGATAAACGCGATTTCCAAGACTACATAGTCGAAGAAAACATGCACGTGGCAATCAACCTAAAAGACTTCAAAGCAATAATCGCCCACGCAGAAACAGCGAACGTAACCGTAACAGCACGCTACACACGACCCTGCAAACCTCTGCAACTAGAATACAAATTCGAAGGCGTGAATGCCGAATTCACAATCATGACCCGCGGCCAAGCAGACATCGACGACACTTTGACTTCATCACGCGCTACCATCCCCCGACAAACTCCCGCTCCAATCCCAGTCTCGAGTCATGCTCGGACTCGACCCTCGGCGCCGAGTACGCAGATGCCTCCGCCTCCACGGCGGAGTCGATCCATTCGTCCGCTGAACGGATCATCGACGCAAGAGAATCTTTCTCAGCGGGCTGGGTCGGAGAGACTCCCTGCTTCTGGTCCTTCGATGGAATTCGATAGTCTTTTCGTTCCTGCTGATGACGACCGACAGTGGGATGAGATGAATGAGCAAGAAGCAGAGCCACAGGATATCCTGGGGTGGGATGCGTCTGGGACGCAGGATGCTTTCGGGACTTCGCTGCACGATACTGAGCCTGCGTTCTCGAGGCAGGATGAAGAACCTGAAGATGAGACGGGGTTGCCGCCTACGCAGCGTCTATCTCAAATTCGGCACTTGGGACTTTTCGATTGAGGGGATGGTACGCTCGGTGCTGATTATTCGCATTTTTTTTAGTGGTCATTGCTATGATCATGACACAAGCATAAAGCTGGTCGCACACCCGGCCCCAACACCAATGACCCGCTCACCAGCAGCGCTCACAGTATCAGGTAATGGAACAATGTTATATGTCCCCGATACATTACCTTGTGTATCTGTATCCGGTCCACAATTGCCATGCTCGCCCCATCCGAATGCTGCCACCTGGCCATGCTCTAAGAGTGCGAGGACGTGCTCGCTTCCGACAGCGAGGTGGGCAGTTGATGGGAGGGTCGGGGGTGGGAGTTGACCACGATCATTGCGGCCCCATGCTATGATGGAGCCGGGCGCTAGGATTGGAGTAGATGCAGGAGCAGATGCAGGAGCAACATGTACATAAACACCATGCCAACTAGCCCCAATACCAGCCGAAGCAAAAGGAATATGTCCTCTCGCCCCTCCACACACGTCCTCAGCTCCAACTGAATCTGAAAGCCCCGATAAAACCTTTGGAATTCCCGTCACCCCCCACTTCATCCCCGAATCAGCAAATACATAAACATCCCCGGCACTCCCCCAGACAACCGAGAACTCCCGTCCACAGACCCCACCCTTCACAGGAAATGGTACATCGAATTTGCGTGGCTGACAGACAATCTTTGAACCACGGTTCCCAGCACCGAGTTGACCTTTCCTCGATCCACCCCAGCCGTATACATCCCCATTTGAGAGAATGGCGATTGTATGCGCCATACTACTCGATAACGATGTAATGCTTGTTCCCCTGGGTGGAAAATCGGATATAAATGTCCCTGGTTGGACTGGGGTTGTTGTATCATGCGTTAGAGTTCCTTTAGGGGAGAGCCCGGTTATGTAGACTCTGTCCTGTGGTTCTGGGATCCCTAACAACTGGGTCTGTGATTGTGGGGTAGATGCAACAGCAATAGTCCCTTCCCAAGTCGCAGAAACACACTTGAACGTCGAAATTTCAGATCCGGTAGTTGAATCTTTGAGAATGAAACGGCGAAAATGGGATATATTCCCATCCTCGTCTTGATCTTGATATTGTGGACCACAACGTTCGTCAATATTACAACCAGCCACATAGACAGCTCCGCTTTTCGTCATGAGGAGGGTATGGTTCCCTCCTGCTGCGATGTGAACGATATCATCATCGAGGATATCGGTAAGAGTTGTCTTTTCGTGTTGTGCTGTGGCTGTTTCTGCAACGTCTGTCTCAAAAAGACATTGAGATGGTGTTGAGACGTCTTCCGTGTGGCCAATTCCTAGTTGGCCTGATCCATTGGATCCAAAGGCGAAAAGTTTCATGCTGTATTGGGGAGGTTGTAGAAGAGAAGGAGGTGTGGGGGTTATACATAGAAGCGGGCAGCCAAGAGCAATTTCGATTACTAATCCGTCTGCCTTGGACCACGCAGAACTAACGCATGCCATAGTGGAAAGAAGGCAGTTCCATTATACAAAGATGAAGACACAATTATTAAATTCTCATTGAGAATTACAGCAGTAATAGAGACAGCAGTGTCAAAAGAGTGGAGATAACAAAGGAACCAGGACATGAAAGGTCGGAAGAGGGCACAGTCGAAAGTGAAAGTTTTCAACCTTTCAGGGAGCCTGATCACCTGAAACCAAGGCATTGGACAGACAAGTCTAGCTGCAGCAGTTCTGGTCTTCTTGCTGCGAAGCTTGATCCTGATGGAAACGCAGGTGTAGGTCGTGACACAGAAGAGTGCAGTCATGTCAATCTGTACAAGATATATCAGCGGATCATCCCTAACAAAACAGGTAACTTGGATCAAGCAGAATAATAGGTGAAGCTTCTATCCCCCCCCCCCGAATAATACTCAGCCTTCGGAATGAACTGTGGTGCATTGTCCGAGCCGACCGCGTACTGACAATATTCGCACGAGGATGTGGAGGCAGCATCACGCACATATGCCCTTGCAGACCCAATGAAAGGGCCCATGTCAGGAGCGCAGGTCTGGCTTTCGAAAAAATCAATCTTGATCCACTCGTTCTCGGCACACTTCACAGGAGCATCCCACAGGGCCTCTCCCAGGAACCCCCAATGAGGTATGTGAATGGATCCATAGTACATCCAGTAACGTCAGAAAGACAATGATCCTCTCGTAAGATCCGACGACTTCACAAAAGCCAATCAATCCAGCTCCGAGGACCAATGGATTGACGAGCAAAATACTCCTTTGGAGCATCTACAGCCATGGCTTGGCCGATTGGAGTGTACCAGAGTCCATAGACTAGACACGGTATTCTTAGATATTATGCACATATAAGGCTTTGGTGATTTCACGTATCATCTTGAAGAACATATGGTCTGAAATCGAAGGCAAGTTTGGGTGGAAGTCAGCATGTTTTATTGGGGCTATTTCAGGCGTCGCAAAGAACATCTGTCAGTTGTTCATCACGAAGACCTACTTCTAGCAATGAAGTAACGGTAGTCATCAATTTTAGTCTCATTGCCGGTTCTCATTTTCGGGAATAGGAACGAGATGGGTTTTGACTCTGGATGCAAAAAGCAAATGCAGACGTAGTGTGGGACGGTTGTGGCGGAACGCCCAAACATGCCCACGGGAAAGTCATGTCGGACTCGCATATCGTCCGAGGTGAATGTAGTTGAACCATGATACATAGCAATGTTGAGGATCATTTTCTAGCCAATAGAGAAGCCGGCCCTCCTACGCCCGCAGCGCTGACCTTCCGACGTAGCACTCGTAAGTGACATAAGTCGGGATGGAAATTCAAAGAAACAGCCTTCATCTCAAGCAAGGTTCTTCCCTCGGCTCTGGGCATAGCCCGGAGCCAAACTCTCTCGATCTGGTTGGTGATGATCTCACCACGCTTCTTGGCGTATAACCATCCTCCTGACTCTAGAGCCCTACGGGATGCCAAAAGCGTTCAGAGACCAGGAACCATGTCACATGCGCAGACGCTTCAGATCACTGCGAGGCTAGGCAACTGTTCTCGAGCCGGTCGATGGCTATACGAGGCGGCCGAGATGGCCGAAGCGATCGGTAGCGAATCGGAAGAAAACCCCATTCTGCAACAGTTCATCCTAACCGATTTTCATTGCAGCTATGACAGGAGTGACTGATTGGATCAATTCGGGAGAAATAGTAAAGTGTTTTATCCCAGAATGGGAATCGTTGAAACAATGCCTTGGTGTACATATCATGTTCTGAATCGACAGAGGCCTCAAGAAAAAGACTTTATCTATGTCAGCCTGTACAGTGGCCTCGGCACTTTGCTCCTGGGACCCTGCGCCACACAAGGCCCAAACACTCCCTGATCAATATGCATGTAGCTGGTCCGGATCCGTGGCAGTGCAAGGTTCATCCGGAAAAGGGTCAGGCTATTGAGAAGGTCACCGCGGACCTGCAGAGTTTCATTTCGACTAGTTCGTGCAAGAATAATATCGGTGCTACGGTTATGGTAGATAGAAATGATCGGACGTGGGCGTTTATCACGACAGATCCGAATCCTACTCAGTATACCTTCTGCCATCCGGACCCTAAAGGTCTAGGCGTCGGAGAAGAGGAGAGTGATGCAGAGATTGGAGGTAATGGAGAATATGTTGGCTGACATCTTCCTGCGTGCTAGGACAACGACAACGGAACTAGGAATCGGGCTGTCTCCTGTGTTATATCAAGATAGTGCGTTGTTAACCGCCCAAAGAAAAGGAGAGCAAAACGCTGACTGGAGACCTCTTCTATTAAAATGTTCGCATTCTATATTCTACTTCCACCCAAATCGATCACTATTCACCTGTGGCTTTGACATCAGCTGGTTATTTTTGATAGTTATGTGTTTCCAGGTTAGTACACTTCATCCGAAGAAGTCGACGTGCGCGTCAAAAAAGGGCAATGGCTAGAAGAATCAAAGGCTTGCAGAAATCGATCCAAAATAAAGGATCAAATAGTCAAAAGTACCCAAAGAGGCCTTCCGTCACTCGTCATGATAAAGATTCGTATTGCTATCCACGGGTCATCGATCAGGGTTGGTAACCTAGTCAAAGCATTCAACGTTATACCCAAACAAAAGCAAAGTCACAGAAACATACATACCTTCAAAATCCTCCTCGAATAATCACCCAAGTCATCAATACTCCCATTAGTTTTGCGACACTCAGCCAAATGATCCCCATCAAACCGAGAATCGGCCCTCGAGACCTCGTGGCCGAAATCACCACAGTAATCACCGGCACTATCAACTCCAGTCTTCTGAGCTTCCTGTTTCCTGGTTCGCCATCTCCAGAAAAACAGAGCGCCAATCACAACCGCTGCACCTCCACACGCTCCGATGACGACACCGACGATGAGGCCGGTATTGCTGTTAATGTTATTGTTGCTGTTCTGCGTGTCGTCTGCGATATAGTCACTGGCGGGGGTATTGTTATCAGCTGACGAGGCTGTTTCAGCACTTGAAGTCGAGGTTGAAGTTGACTCCGACGTCGAAGTGGAACTGGAAGTTGAATTCGAAGCTGAGTTCGCATCAACTGCGACGCCATCTTTGCCGGGTAGACCGGTTGTATATACTGAATAGAGGTCATTACCACCACCTGCGTAGCAATTAATCAGCATCAACAACAATGCACCAAAGAAGAAAAAAAAAAGGGATCATACATGTATCCTCTACCCAACCCGGACAAACAGTGCCACATCTTCTCTTCGGAACCATATCCTCAGACGGCGGCAGAGCATTTCCACAAAGACATTCATACCCTTTCAGAGCGAAAGTGGCGGCATTATTCTTCCGACATTGTGTCAGGCACCATCCGAAACTCTGATAGAGGTGGGATGTGCGATTTGAGAGGTTTTCACTCGTGGAGTAACAGCCTATATAGTTCAGTGCTGGGGTGCGTTTTAAGATTGTGTTTTTATTGCTGTTGTCGGTGTTATCGGGGGTGGCGATGACTATATTGGTGGTGAGGAGGGTTAGGAGGGTTAGTGTTAGTGTTATGGTGGATCTCATGGTCGTTGAATGGTATGCCAGGGATTGCCTGGGGTATAATCAACTGATAGGGTTGTAGATGGTATTAAAAGTATTGGGGTGGACTTTGTTTCAGAGGTAATGTGGTTTGATGAGGTGAGAGGGTGGTTTATATATGTTCGTATTATCGTATTGGCATTGGTTCTATCCACGGCTGTTGGGAGGCTGATATACGGGTGTCTTGGCAACAAAGCGAGAGCGAGAGCGAGGGAAGGACGAACTTCAGTGTGAACTGTTGGAGGCGGGAGTGTGATGTAATCATTTGTAGTTCGTTGGAATACAAAGACATTGAAACACAAATGAAAAGAAGGTTGGGTTGTCTGATCCAAATGGGACCGATCATTATGACGTTCGATCTAGACTGTACGATGTAAATTACTGAATATTGGAGATGATCTTGTAAGGTTTCATTCGCGGGGTATGAGGTATCAATATCTAACAGCGATGGGTCGCTCCATGCAGCGAATTCTATGCAACAATATTCATATAGCAAGCTAGCAAGCTCGAGAAAGGAACGCGATGTATATCCAGTATTTTGACCGTAAAAAGAACAGATAAGAAAAGATATGTACTGTGAGCAACAGCTTATTAAGACTTCTCATTCAAGTTTTCCTCAGACTCGCTCTCAGCGGGAGGGGGGAGGGTGAAATTGTCCTGCTTGGAGGTCACGTTCTTCTCCATACCCTTGAACATGGGCGAGGTACGGTGGAAGTAAGTGTGGACGTGACCCTCGAGGAGGGAGTCGTCGGTGTCGAAGCTGTTCTCGTTCTCCTTCTCGGCAACCTTTTGAGCCATGGCGGTTTCCCACTCGGCACGGTACTCCTCGACCTTCTGTTGATAGTCGAGCTCGGCGTTGTAGTAGCGGCCCTTGCGGAGGACGTAGCGCTCGTACCAGGACAAGTGCTTGGGGTGAACGGCAGGTCCATGGTACTCCTCCTCACGACCCTGGCGGAGGTATTCCCAGCGACGCTCCTGCTCCTTGAGATCCAGACCAGTGGTATCGGGGAGGAAGAGGGCGGTGATCAAAGCACCAGCCAGACCGAACCAAGGAACAACGTAGAACTTGGTCTGGGTGTCGATGTAGTTGTACAGGACGGAGGCGAGGAGGGCACCAGCCTTACCCCAGGCAGCGGACATACCGTGGGCGGACGCACGAATAGGGGTGGGGAAGACCTCAGCAGCAACCAGGAAAGAGACGGAGTTGGGACCGAACTGGTTGAAGAAGGAGCTGAGGAAGTACATGGCCTGGAAAGACTTGATGTTCTCGGGACGACGGTAGTAGTCGTAGTTGAAGGCAGGGACGACGAACAGAACGAAGCAGAGCATGAAACCGACAATCTGCATCCACTTGCGACCGTAAAGCTTGTTATCGATCAAGAAAGAGGCCATGTAGTATCCGCACAGCGAAACACCGACGTTGCACAAGTTCCACAACCAGGTGGGCATGACAGACGAGGTGGCAGGGCTGATGACCTTGATGAACTCGCTCTGGAAGAGCTTGTTACCGTAGAAGAAGACATCGTTGGCGAACCAGCCGCCAGCAGTGGCAAAGATACGGAAACCGAAGTACTTGAAGGTGAGCTTCAGGGACTGAGCATCGTAACCGGTGACGGAGGCCTTCTTCTTTGCGGCGGTGAGCTGCTTGCTGGCGGCCTTCATGTGGTAGGCACGGTAGTACACAAGCCACAGAGTGCCAACGGCGGGAATAGCGAAGGAAACACGGTAGGTCCACTGGACGGCAACAGTGGAGTAGGGGTTGTTGCCACTGCCGTGGTGGAAGCAGAGCAGCAGAATGATGAGCAGAACCTGGTTGAAGAACTGACCCCAACCCTGCATCAAGAAAGCACTGGTGACCTTGCGACCACGGTGAAGACGATCCTCCTTGGTAGAGACCTTTCCAGAGCCGACAGCGTTCTCCATACCACTGGTGGCGGTCATGGGGTATTCGCCACCAACACCGATACCGTAGATGAACAGACACCAAGCATAGCAGATAACCCAGCCGTTCTGGGTAACACCCCAGGCGGCAGTCAACATGACCAGACCGAGAAGCATGATAGTGGCATCCTGAATAAGACCCCAGCGACGACCAATCCTGTTGCCGTTAGCTTCCGAGATCCGAATTTTATCCGAATTTTGGCTTACCAGTCACCGAGAACGCCAACCAAGATCTGTCCCACAATGATACCGATAATTTCGAGGTAGTCGACGGCGTTGATCCATTGCTTGTTGCAAATTTCATGGGTGTCCCAACAGGTGGGGAAAGCTTTTTGGAAGAGCGGCTTGATGTTACCGATAGAGAAGAGCACGTAACCCTCCAAACCGAGACCGGCACCGGGTAGGACCATGTTGCGGAAGTAGTAGGAGACCGGCGAGAGCGGGTCTTCCTTAATCATGGACCAGATGCCGCTCAGTTCGCGCTTGGCTTCCTTGGAGTCGTAGGAAGTCACGAAGCTGATCTTCTTGAACAAGGGCAAGTCGGCCCAGTAGGTACCCTCGGGGGTATAGCTGTCATCGGGACGAATGAGGGAATCGAAAGCACCCTTCTCGTTGATATCCATATCCTCCAGCGGGTTGTGATCTCCCGACATGTCAGGCCCATGGGGGGCACGAGGTCCAAAGTCAGACATGGTGAAACTCTTGGTCTCTTCGATAAGAGTTTGCCGAGAGAGTTGGCAAGGTCAATTCCACCGAATGGGGAGACAAGGAAGAGTCGAAATGACCACAAGAGAGCGTGGCTGACTGCAAGCCAAGTCCGTGGCGATCAGCTTCTTATAAGAAAGAAAAGGGTGGGAAGAACAGAGAAGCGCACATGTAATAGCGGCCATTTCTGATAAGTCGGTGGCGGACTCCACTCGGCCCAGAAAAAAAAAAAAAAACCCCTCCCAAGGAAAGAGCGATGGAGTCCTCGGGCGAAGGTTTTCTGGCCGGAAGCAGATAAAATGGGGCCTCAAGGCTACGCTGGAGCTGCCGGTAACCAATCAAGAATGCACGTGGGGGCAGAATCTGAACGCAGATTGCCACCGCCTGCGGTTCACGGCAGATCTTCGCGGGGACTCACACGTTAGGATCACACAGTACAAAGTCAAAAGTCAGTGTCATACGAGGAGAGTGTCAATTATACCATATTGACATGGTATACACTTTATGATACTTCTTTTTCTATCAAGATAATAGTCCATTGAATGAAAAGTGGTCCGAACTAACTATTCTAGATACACTTCACATCCAAGATAGACCTTTGGGTGGCGCCAGCATCGCTTCTCGAATCCCTGTCACTCTTGCTCGGACACACGTGCACACTTTCCGGGGCGGGCAGTGGATATAAGCAAGTCTGCTGTGATAGGTGCAACCAGGAACCATCTCATCCCAAACGGGCTGGGCCCCTTGAAGTAGAGTCCACGCTAGGAGACTCGGGAGACTATCCATGCAGAATCTCTGACCACTCACAACACCCCATTCACCCATGTGCTCCTCCTCCGCATCTCCCTCTCAACGTCGACTCACCTCGCCGGCCACACGTGGGAGCACTCGCGTGTCAAACAGAAGCCATTGTCCAATTAATCTCAGCCAGAGGAAGGGCTAGAATGTTACGGCTGACACGAATCCCCGAAAAAAACACCCCAATCAACCCGAATTATACGCTCAGACACATCTTCTAACCAACCACACGACCAATTCCTTCCATGCCACCAATATCGATGCCGAGCCGGTTCATCGTCTTGGCTAATGCTTGCTTCACGTCTTTAGCGTTTGATCCAGCAAAGCCATGCGTGTCAAGCATTCGGCGTAGCGAGCGAGGCGTCGCCAAGTGAGCTTCAACAATGCTTGGTTCGCCTGCCAGCAAGACACGCACGTGCTCCTCTTCCGCGCCTATTGCTGGTCGACAGTTCGTGTCAGCCAACGCGCACAGAGCGTGTCCTGTCTCGGGGGATGCTCTGCTTCCAGTATGTGGTTTGAGAGATTGCAATCTACTTAGTACTCCGTACTTGTTTCCGGCCCCTGCTGCTGTGCCTTGCGTATGACACGCTCGCTTGCATAAGTGCGCTTTTGGTCCGGTTTTTTTACTTTGTTCCAGGGGCTACCTTACGTGGAGCTGGCCGATCTCCGGCCCATGCACTGCTCCGAGACTATCGCTTGGTGTGTGTTTGATCTACCGGCCAATAGGTGTGTCGTGATGACATTCCGTTCGTGCTAGGTGTTCGGCCCCTCTCTCAGTACAGTAGGTCCCGTCTCCCTGCATCACCCGACACGAGATGCATGCATCAGATGCCTTCTAGAAAGTGGATGCCTTCTGGAACGCCCTTGTATCAGCTATTACTTGCATGACTCCACCGGCTCTTTCATTTCGCCTGTGGTAGCGTCATCACAATGACCAGACCAGATGGTTCACTGTAGTCCCATCCAGAAACTCCGTCGGTATCTCCGAAACTCACAGATCCAACCGTTTAGTCCGCAAGATCCGAACATACAGTAGGCCATCTCCTGTTCATAATCACATCCATAATCATGATCATGTTCGTGGCGCACTCCACCTCCTTGCAGTAGTCTAGACCGAGACCCAGCCCAGCTCCGGGTCTATTGAATTCAGCCATATTGTACATGCACACCACAACCGCACTAAGCGCTCCTTCATTTGAACAAGAGCTTGATTTCTCTCGGATACTCGGATGCTAGTGTAACAACGTGCCACTAGTTCATTAGTGGCTTTCAGCTCGTCTCGCGAACATGTTTCTGTTTGGTCGTGGGCGTTGCCCGTGGTTCTACGGCGGCTCTTCATAGGACTGTCTATACTGCTAGTATATTATATGGTGTCACTGTATCACAATGCCACGGATCAGATGGCCGTCGAATTCATCGATTGCTTACCAGTTCTTTGGGTTTGGTGGAGATTCGTGGGTTGGATCCGGATGTAACTGTTTCGCTCGGGTCAGATGGGCGGTTTATGGTGAGTTGTACGCTTTGTGCCGTGGTCTGCTCAAGCGGTAAGCTGTGCTGAATGGGTTTATTAGCTTTGGGCTCAGCTTACTTTTCTTGTGTTCCTTGGATCTAGCTAATTTTTGAGTGATAAGTTTGGTCGCCGTCGATGTTGCAAAGTGATGCTCGAGCTGACACGACACAAAGCTCAATTAGCATTTCACAGGATTCCAGAAAACCAACCAGTCGAATGGTGAACTGCCAACCTTCAAAGAGTTCCTCGTTCGCGTGGTGAATAATCCCCGCAGGGAGTCATACACCTGGGTCGCGGGCTCATCCCACGCAAACTAGGGCAACAATGTTGACCCTACCCTTGAATAACGAATTATTCAAATAACAATTCCAGCCTATACCCAGAATTCCCCAAGAGTCAAAACTCACATCTAGCCCCAAGCCCCCCTATTCAGCACCGAGATCCCCCGTGGCTGTCAACATTCTTGAAGCGGGCAGGGCCAACCTCACCACCCTCCCTTCAATCCAACCCAGAACTTTTCAGCCATCATGCTCGAACCTGGCATTTCTGACAGCTGAAATTTCCAATAACCAGTACTCAAGCACATCATGTGCAATGCATACATACCACGGAGAATTCAAAGTGGCTTTTCACGCTAGAACATGCCCCTCTGCTCCCCTTTGGCAGCCCACATCCGGAATGATCAGATCGCGAGAAATCTACGCGACTGATCCATATCTCGGATGAGAGACTCTGGTATATAATGACAGGAGGACCAGCTGAATCAAAGATTCTCATTCAGGTATTGAGTAGACTTCTTTTCGTGGTTGCACCGCTTGCTTCAGCTCCAGCTATCACGATCTATTCTTGCGTCGAATCTAGCTCAGTTCTATACTGTCATACTTGACTTGACACCATTCGGCTATCAACTACATCCATCCAGGTTAGACCGGATCACAGCCTAACCGAGACAGACAACGGCAAAAATGGCCCTGATAGATTTCAAAGCCCTACTCCCAACAATAACAGCCTTCATCGCATTTATAATCACCATCCTGTGCCTCTTCGCCGGCACGCAAAAGGATTTTCTCGATGGCGCCGATCTGTTAACAGTAAGCCCTACCTCCCCATGCACTCCATCCAAAGGACACGAACTAATATGGCACCAGCTCTACACCCCCTCAGCAACACCCTCAACCACCCAGAATGTCGCACACGATTTCTACTCAGTCCACATAATGTCCTACTGCAGCGGAGAACTAGGCACAACAGACCCAAGCGCGGGCGTCACGCGCAACGTAACAACCTGCTCAAACCGCACGATCTTGTTCGCGTTCGACCCGACGCAAGCCTGGCCAAAAGAGGTCACGCACGGCGCGGAACTGGACTGGCCGCGTGTCATTGCTGATGATTTTCATGCTTTCCGTATGACGAGTCGGGCTATGGCTGTGCTTTATTGTATATCTGTTGGTGTTTTGGGCGCTGTGCTTATTGGGAGGGTTTTTGGGACGGTTAAGCCTTGGGGTGGGATGGGGTTCTTTGAATTTGGGGGGTTGATTGTGAGTATTTCTTTTCTTTCCCTTTTCCTGCAGTTCTGTCCTGCATTTGAACGACTTGGGGGCAGAAGAGGAGGGATGGTGTGGTCAGATGATGTTCCCCGAATTCGGGGTGTCTGTGCTGTGCATGTATTCCCCCAGGATACCATATCACTCACTCTCACTCTCACTCTCACCATGGCTTTGACCGTGGTCATGGCTATGACTATGACTATGACTCGGTGGACTGAATACGACAGTGGCTAACACATTGACTCCAGTTCGGATCCTCTAGCTTAACCATCGCCTCAATAATTGCAACAGTGCTCGCCTTCGAGTTCGTATCCCTTGTCAACGCGCACGGCGAGGGCTCCAACGTGTCCGCTAGCTACGGCGAAAAGTTCCTAGGAATGACCTGGGCCGCAGTGGGGCTATTACTCGCAGGTAGTGTAGCGTCGTTTGTGAACGTGTTCATTCGCACGCGAGCGGCGCCTGCATTTGCAGTCGAGAAGGACATAGAGGGGTAAAGTAACCCCAAGGGAAACGGGAAAGGGGGATGGAAGCACGAAAATGAAAGGGAACCAGTCGGAGGACTGGTAGCCTGAACGCGCCAGAGAATGCGAATGAGGGGGGGGGAGGGTGGGGGGAAAGACTAGGACTGGGGACGGGGTATGACCGGGCCTACTCGCCCATTCCAATTTCCAATTTAGATCTTTGTATTCGTTAAAGCGTGAAATGAAATACTACCTTGAGCCCAATCTGACTTGGGCGGTAATGGTGAAATTACAGTTGCTAATCCGGCCGCTTGCTTATGCTAGGGGGTCAGTGTAGCCAATGGGCGTGATGGGAGACTGTCTGAGTTGGGGGGGGGGGGGGGGGGGGGGTGGTTCACGATAGGCAGCAATGACAATCAAGTCCATAGAAGATTCTACTCTAGTCTAGTTTTGGATCCAGACTTGTATGGAAATTCATCGATGACATTGGAATCAAGGTATGGGGAAAGTTGGTAGTTCGAGACTCCCTCTAGTGACGGGCAAAACTGGGTCTTTCCGTTATCCGACGTCACCACTGTGGAGACTTGAGAGTATGAGAGATATCAATGTGATATCAAAGTCATTGTGTTTACATGTAACATAGAGGCATTATTGTTTGAGGTTGACTATAACACATTCTATTATGCTCATTGTAGGTGTGTTAGGACCACTGTACTCCGGGCATACCTGTGGTTTTCGTCCCGGTCTGTCGGCTGGTGACTCCGGCTAAGCCCCGAACTGCCAAGGTTGACATTTGTTGCATGTCAAAGCGCGAGTGCGGAGGGAATGTTGTATGGGCGGGTTTTTCCGGGGCAGACCACCCTTTGTTCCTCGGTGAGTAGTTCAGGCCCGAAGGTGTGTATGGCTCGGGCGGATGATCCCTGGACGACGGGCAGTGGTTGACTAAACGGATACGGAGCCTTGGGTGGGCAGTCGGGCAGGACAGGAGGACAGGAGAGCGGGAATAGGCAGGTCGAGATTGCCGATATCAAGTGAGTGGGGGTAAAAGACTATGACGGTTCCAAACAAGGCGGAGACTAGTCCCGGGATATCTATGAAGTCATCTTTTGCTTCAGCCACTCCCTGGCCTCACGGCTTGGGCTTGGACTATGGCTCTTTCCTGAGTTTAAATAGCTGCTCTTTCCCCCTTCTGCGATTTCCTCATTAGTCCATAGTCTCTTTTCTATCTCAACTTCCTCTCACACTTCACCTTTCTCAACTCTCTCTCTCCCCCTCTCTACTTCTACTCTACATCATGGAGAAGAAAGCTGTTCACTTCGGCGGTGGTAACATCGGCCGTGGTTTTGTTGCCGAATTCCTTCACTCTGCTGGCTTCGAGGTGGTCTTTGTGGATGTCATGGACAGCATCATCTCCGCTTTGCAGAACACCAAGTCATACCAAGTCACCGAGGTCAGTGAGGAGGGTGAGAACACCAAGACCATCACCAACTACCGTGCCATCAACTCCAAGACACACGAGGCCGATGTCATCAAGGAGATCGCAACTGCTGAAATCGTGACCTGCGCCGTGGGCCCCAACATCCTCAAGTTCATCGCACCCGTCATTGCCAAGGGTATCGATGCCCGCACTGACCCCCACCCATTGGCTGTCATTGCTTGTGAGAACGCTATTGGTGCCACCGATACTCTGCATGGATTCATCAAGGACAACACTGCCGCAGACCGTGTGGACTCTATGCCAGACCGTGCCCGGTTCGCCAACTCTGCCATCGACCGCATTGTCCCTGCTCAGGCCGCAGATGCCGGTCTCAACGTGCGCATTGAGAAGTTCTACGAGTGGGCTGTGGAAAAGACCCCCTTCGGCAGCTACGGCCACCCCGACATCCCAGCCATCCACTGGGTTGGGCACCTCGAGCCCTACATTGAGCGCAAGCTTTTCACTGTCAATACTAGCCACGCCACTGCTGCTTACTACGGATACCACCTCGGCAAGAAGACTATTGCCGAAGCACTGAAGGACGACTACATCCGCGGAGTCGTCCGTGATGTTCTCCAAGAGACTGCCGCACTCATCATCGACAAGCACGAAATCAGCGCTCCCGAGCAGCAGGAGTACGTCGAGACCATCATTTCCCGCATCTCCAACCCCTACCTCGAAGACAGTGTAGAGCGTGTGGGTCGCGCTCCCATGCGCAAAGTCTCTCGCAAGGAGCGATTTATCGGACCGGCTGCACAGCTGGCGGAGCGTGGAGGAAAGTTCGACTCGTTGATGGGATCTGTTGAGATGGCATTGCGTTTCCAGAATGTCGAGGGAGATGAAGAGAGTGTGGAATTGGCCAAGGTGCTCAAGGAGAACTCGCCTGCCGATGCAGCCATCGCTCTCACCGGCCTAGACCGTGACCACCCACTGTTCCCCCATGTGGTCAAGGTCGTCGACGGCGTACAATCCGACGCAAAGTAGGAACCTTTTACCCCCCCCCCGCCAACCTCGATCCAACCTTTTAACATCACTTCCAGGGAGGCAGGGCAACCGCGCATCTGATTGATTTTCTTCCGCTCGCATTGGATATGGCGAATACTAGGTACACGGCGCGATGGATTAGGTTTTGACATGATTAATGAACTGTAGTATGAATAGCAATGAATAACTTTATATCTCTATCTTCCTTGCAATCACAACTAACTATCAACCCACACAGGCCCTCTCTTCTCCACGAAAGCCCTCAATCCCTCCTTGATATTCTCCCCCTCATTCAACCTCTTCACCCACGTCTCACTCAACATACTAGTAGCCTCATCCGCCCCAATCCCCTCCCAACCAAGCTTAACTCCCTCCCGACTAACAAGAACAGAATCAGGACTATTCCCAGCAATAGTTCCAGCAACCTCCAAAGCCTTCCCAACAACAACCCTCGAAACCTCCCTATCAACCTCCTCCGTCCCCTTCCCACCCTGAACAATCCCCCCAACGTCAACAACAGAATTAACAATCCCCCACCGCTCTGCCTCAAACGCATCCACATTCCGCCCCGTAAGAACCATCTCCATAGCCCTCTGCTTGCCAACCGTCCGAACAAGTCTAGGCAATGCACCAGCAAGCGCAACAACACCGCGCTTAACCTCTGGCAAACCAAAAACCGTCCGCGAAGACGCGATCACAATGTCGCTATTGATGATCATCTCCGTCCCACCGCCGAAACATAGCCCGTTCACCGCGCAGATTACGGGTTTCTTGCCTTTGCGCCGGGCGAGGCCGCCGAAGCCGCTACTCGGCATTTGGGTTGATTTTTGGGATGTGGAGGTGGTGGTGGAGGAGGCGCGGGTATTCCACTCTGTTGTATTGCACTCGGTTAGTTTGGTAGATCTTATGAGGCCTAAAATTGCGATTGCAATTGCAATTGCAGTTTCAGTTGAAGGTGTGAAGGTATTTGGGGTGTATACCCTTCAAATCAGCGCCAGCGCAAAACGCCCTCCCCGTTCCGGTCAGCATGCCCACACGCATGCTCGGCTCCTCGTCCATCCATTCCCAGATTTCGTGGAGGTCTGCGTGGCCTTGGGCGTTTATGCAGTTTAGGTCTTTTGGCCTGTTGAGGGTTACGAGGAGGATGTGTGGTGCTGGGTAGGAGAGGATGGCCGTGTGCGGGGTTGGTGGTTGAATGGTGAATTTTGGCATTTTGATCAGGGGTGTTTGTTGGTTGCTTCAGTGTTGGTTGGTTGGTATTTGAATTGGATTCGGGATTTGGCGTTGGTATAGGTTATTATGGAGTAGAGTTGGCTGTAAGGAGTGGGGGTTGGGGTTAATTGTAGATGCGGAGAATGGATGAGATGCCGAGGGCCGATCGGTGTGGAGGTCTCGGCTTGATTACTCTACTGTACCTTAGCCAACTATTGACTACGTAGTGATTGAGGTATACTCGGTCTACTTTCCGGTGTGCAAGGACAGGTACCCGCCTAGATTGGTGATTTTCATTTGTGGTTTGTTCTCTGCAAAGGGGAGAACAGATCAATCCGCCATCCTATTAACGCCTAAGCCGCTCTGCAAGCAAAATTTACTGGGTACCGGGGATATCAATAGAAACAACACAATTGGATACGATCGGGGCTATCAACAGGTCACACGCTTATGCCTTGTTGATCCAGCCGCTGTGTACCATGAAGTCGTAGATGCGACTGGTCTTGGTACCCTCGATCTAGGGTCATGTCAGTAAGAGATACTGTAGTTGGTTTGGGTATAAGGGAACGTACCTTGCAAATTGCTCGTGCGTCTTTTTTCTTCAGGCTGCCGCCTTGCTTCATTGCTTCTTTCAATAATGTCTCCTTGACCACGAGGTATGGCTTGGGCATGATACGTAGCACGTTGCAGACTTCTATTTCTTCCTTGGTCAGGAGATGTAGGTCGGCTGCGGTGTCGTTGTCCAGTTTCCATGCTGGTAGCCCACTCAATGGCGGTACAACGTATTTGGTCTTGGATGGCTGGGGAGGAGGGGCATCTCCGTCCACGGCGAAAGCGCGATCGAAGTCATTCAATGTTTCATCGGTGGCATCTGTCGGGGCATGGGGATTGGCGGCTTTCTGTAACCGCAGTGGCAGTTCGGGTGTTGTCAATTGAGTCGCCGCCGGTGGGGTTTCGGTGAGCTGTGCCTGCTTGGGACGTGCGCTGGCAAAGCGGTCGAAGGAGCCCTGGGGAAGTAGTCGTTGGACGCGCTGCTGCTTGTCTTGCTCGTATTTTTCACCGGCCTTGAGATCCCCAATGCCCATCTGGCGCCATTCTTGGAGTTGGGAGATAGCCAGCCGGAGGTTGTGCTCATATTCTAGGCCCTTGTTGACGTCTTCAAAGTCTTTCCGGTTCATCATCCGGGCCAAAGGCTTGGCTTTGTTCAACAAATCGCGCTCTTCCTTTGATCGCTTCTTGTCGAGGGCAGTGTTCTTCCGGTATTCGAGGAGGTTGTGTTCGAAAAGGATCTTCTTGCGCTCTGTTCGCGCGGTAAGGCGAGAGTTGTAGATATCGACCACAGTCATCTTCAGCTCCGTCTCTGCATCTGGCTCGCCATTTTCGTTAAGACCAGCTCCAGGCTCAAAGGTCATGTGCTGCACGGCCTCTTCGGCATCGTTCAAGAATTCGGTCTCAAATTCCAATCGTCCAGGCATGTAGCCCTGTACTTCGTGACATGCCGGTACACTGGCGGTCGGTTTCTGCTTTGGGGTGGTGGGTGGTGCAGCCTTGGCGGCATCCTTGCGCTCCTCGATACGTCGCTTCTTGCGCGTCTGGAACTCCTCTTTCGAGATCGAATCTTGTAAGCTTCTATCGTCTGGGTCGGCACGGTCTGCAAGCGGGAAGTGGCCGCTCTCGATGTATGTGTCATAGTAGTGGTCGCGCACTTCGTCCTTGCTGCGGTAGCCTCCGATATGGTCTGCAATGTCGGCCCATGAGCCGAGTCCGTAAATCTCAGCACCTTCCAGCAATAACAACTCTTCATCAGCACCCCAGTCACCTTGGAATATGGGAACGGAGTTCTGTTCGATCACTTGGAATGGATGTGTAGCGGGATCGTGGTTCTTGGAGCTTTGTCCGGCGGAGAAACAGGGGACACAGAGGTCATATTCGGGACACGAGGGATGCGAACACGAGATGCGAACCTGATGGGAGAATCAATGTCAGCTTCTGGATGATAGAGCTCTTGAGTGGTAGAGCTTCTGGATGACACGGTTGGTCCTTACTGTTGATGTGACATCAATAGAGCACACGTCGCAATGGAACTTGGTGCCTGCCTCGGTGCCGCGCGATGCGGTCTTCTTGCGAATCACACCCATTGTCTGAGTGACTCTTTCATCGTCCGCTTTGACGGTGTCGAGGAGCCAGTCTCAGTGTCTCCCAGGAACCCGGAGAGGAGAGGAGAGGTCTAGGGGAAGTAGATCGCGGGGAATAAACAAGCTTAACACAATCGTAACAGCATGGAGTCGCCCAATAAGAAGTGAGCACTGAGTACAGACTTGTCCGAGGTACTTCGTAGCTTGACGTTCACCCTTGAATGTGGCGGAGTTCTGCCTCAGGCTGGTTTCAGTACCATACAGCCCTATCGGCGCCCTTGGGGCTTGGCCAGCGGTAATTCACGTATTTTGTTTACAGGGGGCTTCCCCTCTTCTCCTTCACTTCAATCTTCATCTTCAACTTTAACTTCATCTTCTCTCATTAGTTGTGCTTCCGGATAAAAGTGGTCTGACCCTTCGTGCTCCGTCCCTCCTTAAAAGGCTTTCTTTTTGGGCCTTTCGCATGTGTTGATCCTCGGTTTGTGGCACTCTGCAACACCACGCATTGCGGTCGGCTTCTTGGACTTTCATATCTTCACTATCGTCACTAACCCTCACAACCCACCGCCACAATGTCCTGGAAGCTCACTAAAAGTATGTTTACTGGCAGTTGGTCTCCCTCTCCCCCCGCTCCTCCCTGCACTGCAGACCGTCAGAACAATGGCTAATTGCATATGCTTCAGAATTGAAGGAGACGCATCTGGCGCCCCTGACCAACTTCGGTCGATCGTCCTCTACCTCGACGATCAAGGGCGACTCAAATGGGGACGAGGCTCAAACCCCTGTGGCCTCTAACCCGCCTAGCATCTCCTCCGGCGCCCCGTCAACAAACGGAATTTGTATGTCGTGGCCCTCTGATCGGGAGTACAGCCCACTAATTGTTTAAACAGCGGCTTCGGAATCTCTCGTCTCCCCGCCTGTGGCTCCCGTGAACCCGGGTATTCTCATCGTCACTCTCCACGAAGGACGCAATTTTTCTCTGTCCCCTCATTTCCAGCAGATCTTCAACTCGCATTTCCAGAACAACTCTTACGCACCATCGTCCTTACGCCCTAGCACCTCCTCTTCGTCACATTCATCCCAGAATCAGCAAGGCTCCTATGTGCCCTCAGGCCGCCCACAATCCACAAGTGGGGGAATAAATGCCGCCCCCACTATCCACGGTCGCTATTCCACCAAATACCTTCCTTATGCCCTCCTTGATTTCGAAAAGAACCAGGTCTTTGTGGATGCCGTTTCGGGTTCTCCCGAGAGTCCATTGTGGGCAGGTGACAGCACAGCGTTCAAATTCGATGTGTCCCGGAAGACCGAGTTGAATGTGCAGCTGTACTTGCGTAACCCTGCTGCCCGGCCTGGTGCCGGTCGTAGTGAGGACATCTTCTTAGGCGCATGCAAGGTCCACCCTAAGTTTGAGGAGGCCCAACAACCATATGTGGAGGATCCTAAGCTGAGCAAGAAGGACAACCAGAAGGCCGCTGCGGCTCATGAAGAGCAGGCTCGTCAAGCTGGTGGGCCTGGTCAGTCGGGTGCCGAATGGCTGGATCTTCAATTCGGTGCTGGCTCGATCAAGATTGGTGTCTCGTTTGTGGAGAACAGGCAGCGCAGTCTTAAGATGGAAGACTTTGATTTGCTCAAGGTCGTCGGAAAGGGTAGTTTCGGCAAGGTCATGCAGGTCATGTAAGGGATCAATGCTTACTTTTTGGGGCCTTACTAATGATTTAACAGGAAGAAGGACACCGGCCGAATCTACGCCCTCAAGACCATCCGCAAGGCTCATATTATCTCACGATCTGAAGTCACACATACACTTGCTGAGCGATCTGTGCTTGCACAGATCAACAATCCGTTCATTGTTCCACTGAAGTTCTCATTCCAGTCGCCTGAGAAGCTGTATCTTGTTCTGGCTTTTGTGAATGGTGGAGAGTTGTTCCACCATTTGCAAAGGGAACAGCGATTTGACATCAACAGAGCCCGTTTCTATACCGCAGAGTTGCTGTGCGCTCTCGAGTGTCTGCATGGGTTCAAGGTTATTTACCGAGATCTCAAGCCTGAGAACATTCTTCTGGATTACACTGGACATATTGCTCTTTGTGATTTCGGTCTTTGCAAGCTGGACATGAAGGACGAGGATCGGACAAACAGTAAGTTTCATCATTCTTTGACCCTGTACTTACGCTAATTGAATTCAGCCTTCTGTGGAACTCCTGAATATCTCGCCCCCGAACTTCTCCTTGGCAATGGCTACACCAAGTCCGTCGATTGGTGGACTCTAGGAGTCCTGCTCTATGAGATGTTGACTGGTCTTCCTCCATTCTATGATGAGAACACCAACGAGATGTACCGCAAGATCTTGCAAGAGCCTTTGACTTTCCCTACCAGCGATATCGTCCCTCCCGCCGCTCGGGATCTTCTTACCCGCCTGCTGGACCGTGATCCCGTGCGCCGACTGGGCGCCAACGGTGCCGCTGAAATCAAGTCGCACCACTTTTTCGCCAACATTGACTGGCGCAAGCTTCTCCAGAGAAAGTACGAGCCCAGCTTCCGGCCGAACGTGGTATGTATCCTTCCTGTGTAACGTTGAAACACCCGCTGACTTTCTTTAGTTGGACGCCCGTGACACGGATAACTTCGACCGCGAGTTCACTTCCGAGGCACCCCAGGACTCCTACGTCGAGGGTCCCGTCCTGTCGCAGACCATGCAGCAACAGTTCGCAGGCTGGTCCTACAACCGACCAGTGGCTGGTCTCGGCGACGCAGGTGGCAGTGTCAAAGACCCATCCTTCGGTAGCATCCCGGAGTAGATCGTCGTCCCCTCTTAGCGTCAAATTAGATCGAGAAATACTGATCGGTGACCGAGAAAGAGACTTTAGGGGGTTTTCCATAGAACGCTTCTCCTTTGTTACTTTTTGCTACTGTGTACGCCTTTCATTCACATATCACCAATCTTGATCTTTTTTTCTTCCTCTCTTTTCTTTGGTCTCTTTTATTCCATCTTGTTGATTTCCCCATCACAAAGGAGTCTGTGGCATCTTGATATCGGAGTCGCTCCCTGATCTCGAGACGACATTGTTTCTTCTCGTGTCATCTTTTCCATTGAGCGCTTTGGTTTGGGCTTCTTCCTGCTCTATCTTCTTTGGTTTGTTGTTTCATCTCATTCCCTCCAGGCAGGTTCCTTTCTTCCTCGTTTCGTTTGTTCTCAAGCGGTCATTCCCTGCCCTCTTGTTGTGTATTCTCGATAAAACTTTGCAATGGACAATGCCAGACAGTTGTGCATCTATCATTATGTGTTATGTAATAACCTGTACATTGTTTCTGAGGCCGTGAACGCACCAATCCGGTGGTCGACGAGCTTGAGAGCGGTTGAGAGCGCATCCATTGCGTTTATCTCCTCCGCGCCCTATACACCCGCGCCTTGTGCTCCCTACGCCCTATGTCCCACTCCACGCCCAACGAACCCCGAATCCAAATTGCGAATTCAACGGCGGAATCGGATGGTCTGAAATGCCCTACAATTGAATAGATAGATAACTTTATATGAATAACCGCGCGCCCCCCCCCTCCATCAAGCCAAAGTCTCAAACCACACAACCAACAGGAGCAGCCCTCGGCGCCTCACGGCTCCGAATAAGCCTAACCCCGTCACCAAAGATTATCCCAGCTGCATACTCCGTAGATGTCATCGTTTTGCCAATACCCTTGGTAATACAAAGGCCATTACCCTGCAGACTTATGGGCTGCTTCCTGCTGAAAAGACGATCGAGGAGTGTAACTTCTGGTATAATACTCTTGAAAGCTGCTGTCGTATGCCGCTGCTGCTGGACGTGGTGGGAAGCCGGTGTCTATTGATAATGAAGATGCGGCTTGCTCTTATCAGAGTGTTGGGAAGCCTCGTGCGGACTGGTTCTCTGCCCAAGATTCCTGTTTTTGCCTTGACTGGGCTGGCTTCAAATGATTTGTCGAAGTTTACCTGCACTCGTAACATCTGTCCTCAGTGAATTGATTCAGAATCATATTCGATCTTAATTGATGTGCGCTAAAATGATACTGCTACATCTATTGACGTAGAACTTTCGACGGTTGACCGTTGAATGTCCGAGGTTTTTGTTCTCTGCAAAGACTCTGTTAGGAATAATCAGTCCTTGTAACGCACCTACTCATCGTAAAGCTAGTAATTGGAGCTTTGTTTAGGGCACGCCTTACCCTGCCATGATGTACAGAGCGCCCTACGCCCTTCGCCTTATGCCGTGGATTCCGCAGTCGTATTGGAAAGTTGGAGGATTAGCTATATGATGCCGGTCAGAAGAAAAGGACGTCATAAATTAATTGCAATTTCACGTGGGAGAGCATAATCGTTTTTTGATATTCGAACTGGTGAGCACGAACCGCCGTATAATCAGCTCCATCATCCTAAAATCTCTCAAGAGAAGGTTGCTACGGTACAGTAAATAGGAATAGAGGCATATATGCATCAATAATATAACAATAGACCTAACCAGGCCGGAACCTCCTGGATAGAGAAGAACAGCTGTAATTGTATCTAGCCAGTCTCAGGGTTTCCTCCAGATCAAGACACATCGCAGCTGAATTACACAAAGTAAGAAAAGAAAAAAAAAAGAAAAAAGTCGGACACACGTTAAGACGCCGGTCGCAATCCACAATCAACTGACTCGTCAGTCGGAAAACAAACGATCTACCTATCTCTCCATCAAACAGAATCCCGGTGCTTTTCCATTCATTTACTCAGCCTCGGCAGCATCGGCCTCATCCACAGCTTGCTCCTGCTTGGCTTCGGCTTCAGCCTCTGCTTCGGGGGCGCCATTAGTTGCGCTGGCGGGTTCTTCATCTCCATCTCCGTTGATGTCAATCAGACTCTCGGATGATGGGGGCTCGGGGACGATACCCTCCTTCTCTAGGCGGATGTACTCGTCCCATTCGGGGAAGAGGTCGTCGTCGGTAGCGACATCCGGAGCACCGGGTGGGACACCGATGAGGCGGGCGACCTTGTTCTTGTTTGACTGCTCTAGGGACTCCTTCCACTGGACAACGAGCTTGGCAGCACTAGAAGGCTTATATGTCTGAGCGAAGAGGGCAGCCTCGGCGATGCGGTTGGTCTGGATGAGAAGAGCAATACAGCCATCGATATCGCCGAGGGACCAGAGAGTGGAGAAGGCGACGTTGTGGAGGCCAGATTCAGAGGCCTGGGCAGCCAGAGACTGGAGGCCTTCGCGATTGTTGCTGGCGGTGTGCAACAAGAGCAGGGAGCCGACGTCCTTGGCGTTGGTGAAGCACTCCTGCGCCAAGGCGAGGTTCCAGCCAGCCAAGGCGGCGTCACCAACGATCTTCCACTTGTGCTCTACGTTGGCCTCGCGGGCGATCACGAGAGCAGTCTCGAGGTCGTTCAAAGAGAGAGCCAGGTCGAAACGGTGCTCGGGGTCTGTTGCGACCTCGAGGGCCATCTCCTTGTATCCTTGGCCTTCGAGGAAGCGGGCGACCTTGTTCATCTGATCTTGAGGAACATCCGCGAGGAGCTCGGCAGCCATTTCCATGTCACCACGCAGCACCACGGTTTGATACTCGACCATGCTGAGGGAGAGGCTGAAAGAGGTGGCGTTCACATCCTTGTCGGCAAGGTAGATACGACCATCCCGGGGCAGGTAGCCAAGGACGTACATTGGCTGGTCGAAGTGGGAGATTGTGTAGGTCTGATCACCAACAAGGTAGTTCAGGCGGTTTGTAGAGTTGGTGTAGATGAAGCAGTCTCCAACCCACTGTCCAGTCCGGACGGACTCGTTGATTGTGGCAACCAACTCAACAGCGGCCTCAACACCATCCTCGTCGGCTTCACCATTGTTCATGCCGTTGATATATTCCTCGCGAGAGTAGCGAAGAACGTAGAAGTCATCGTCACAAGCGAGGGTAACCAATTCACCAGATTCGGACCAGTAAACCTGAAAAAATTAGTTTCTTTTTTCATCACATTTTCGGAGAAAACTTACGGATTTGGGGTCAGCTTCGATTCTGCGGACTAAGCTACCAGTCTCCCAATCGAAGAAGCCGATACCACCTTGGCCCTTCACACCAAGAAGAACACCATCGGACAGACCCTCGGCTTGGAATCCAACATCAAGACCAGCACTCTGTTCTTTAAAGTTCTTGAAGATCTTCACACTCGTCGATGATTCGCGGATAGCGTAGTCGTTGCTGTTGTCCTTGGCACCCCAGGCGAAGTCGAGGGCCTGTCCAAAGGCCTTGTTTCGCCACGCCAATGCGGTGTAGATGATATACTCTCCGTCACCACAAACAGAAACGAAACGGCCGTTGGGAGAGTGCGTCAGAGTCTGGGGGTAGACCTCACACTGACCAAGATCCTTTGTTGGTAGCATGAGGGGCTCGCCATCCTTGATGCTGGCATCGCCGCCCTTAATTACAGACGAGACGACTTCACTGTGCCTAGCCCAGATCAGCTTACCGGATCCATCCATGGAAACGGCAGGTTCCTCGCGACCCATCTTCACTACTACCGCACCATCGTCGAAACCCATGGCAATACCCTGTCGGCCTCTCTGGTAAGAAACACACCACGCGCGTTCAAGACCATAGCTTAATGACTGCTCCAAGCGGTAAGTGTTCGCGTGCCAGATCTTAACAGTACCATCCTCGGAACCAGATATGATCACAGGCAATTCGGGGTGGTAGCAAGCGAATGAGACGTTGCTTGTGTGACCCTCGAGGGTTGCGATGAGTGCCTTGGTGGTGTAATCCCAGACCTTCACGGTCTTATCGTCGGAAGTGGTGAGGAGGTAAGGTTTATCAGCCTGGGGATAATAATCGACATGGTTGACACCCTTTGTCTCGTGGGCTTCCAGGGTAAAGTTGGCATGGGGAGAGCCGAGGTTCCAGATCTTGACGGTCCGGTCCAAACAAGCAGAGGCGAAGGTGTTGGTATCCTTCGGGTTAATTGCCATGCCCATAACATAGTGGCTGTGGCCCTCGAAGACCTGCACACACTTCCAGCCCTTCTCCCAATCCCAAAGCTTAATTGTCATGTCATCGGATGCTGTGAGCACGAACGGCTGGGTGGGGTGAACGGCGATGGAGCGAATGTAGTCGGGGTGTGCTTCAAAGGAGGTGATTTTTTCGGAGGTGTTGTAGTTGTAAACACGGAGTTGGAAGTCGTCTGAACCGCAGACAATCCAGTTCTTCCGCGCAATGAAACGACCGGCACGAACGGGGACATCGGTGAGTTCGAACGTTTTGATAATGGACTGGAACGGTTAGAGAGCAGGAAGGGTGCAATCTTGTAGCCGGTCTTACCTGTGATTCATAAGACCAGATGTAGACATGACCTGCACCGGGAAGTGATTAGCGCATTGGACATCTCGTGGGCTGCCCTTCAGACGTACCGCTGTACAAGGTTGTCAAGATCTAGGGAAATCAGTTTCTGTGAATCATCAGAGGATACTTGGAAGACTTACCCATGGCTCTGTAGGGTGGAAATCAATGCCCTTTACCCGCTCGGAGCGGGCAAACAGCTGCCTCTGCATGGAACATTCTCGTTAGCAATCCCTTCAATTTGTTTATATCGGTATGAGGTGCCATGTTGCTATATCCTTTGAATGCATATTCAAAGCGACATGAGGCACTTCTCGTCTTGCGTACCTTGACGTCGAGCCGCATGTTGTGTGGGGGGATGAGATGAGTGTTTGTGTGGTGCGGCGTTGGGCCTGCGACAGCGAGGGGGATTCCGCGAGCCGCTCAGTCAGCCCAAGTTGTATTGAGGAACAGGCCTCGAATTAAGGTAGGAATTGAGGGTATTAACAAAGGATTGAGATGATGGAGAGCTTAAGGGAGAGCACTTCAGGGACAGCAATGTATGTGTCCACAAGGGATTCCCGCCTTGGCTCACCGCCTTCCACTCTATCGATCTTATACAGCTTTCCATCCACATGCGCAGCAATTGAAATTATGTGTTATTTTGGTTAATTGTATGGGAAATATTAGGCCTCCATTGGGGGGAGTATCCTTTCTTTAGTCCTGTCAAAGTGCTTGATCTGGATCTTGGAAACATTCTTAATGGAGCCGAACCTTGGGTATATATATCTTGCAGTTCTGATGAAGAATCTAGATCAGCGAATACGACATAAAAAAATCTGTCAGCACTAAATTCCTGTGATGAATACTTTGCACAGATACTCACTATTCGCATATGAATAGAATCTAAATAATTTTACAATTGAGCCGAATTAAGATCATTGAATTTGAGAAACATGTATTCAAACAAAGGGACCTCTAGTAGTAGTTACAGAGATTAAAATTCACAGCCATTCCAGAATTGCTGTTTAGTTGCCACGCTCAAAGTAAGACCACTGGCCGGGTTGAGGCTTCTCCTCGAGTTCCTCCCACCTGTAAATGTGTCAGCGTATGTTCAGGCATGGAGTATTTGGAGCCATTTTCACTTACACCTTAGCCTTGGCAAGCTCATCGACAAGCTTGAGCTCTGCCTCGGCAACCTGAATGACCTCTTCGATCAGACCAGCGCCAATCTGTGACTCAACCAGAGAGATCCTGTATGAGAAATTAGCAATATTCAAATATTTCAGATCAAACCATGATACAGGCGCACGTACTGGTCGGCATCAAGAGCAGGCTCGCTCTCCCACTTCATCTCCTCGTTGTAGAAGTCGGACTCGGCCTTCTCGGTGGTCTCGCTGGCCTCGGCCATGATCTTGTGCCATTCGGCCTCTTGTTGCGGGGTGCGGGCGGGACCCTCGGTGGTGGCTGTGAGTTCCTCGCCGTCCCATTCAGCACCACGAGCATCGTCACTTCCATCCTTCTGCTGGGCAGCGGCGTAGGTGAAAGAGCCGTCGGCGCGCTGGACCTTGGCGAACCGCTCGGGCTCGGCTCCCACGGTCTTGCGAACGCGCTCCAACCAGGCGTCAAATCCGGCGGGCTTCTGGGATTCGATAATCTGGAGACGATGGCGGGTCAGTGCCTCGACGGATTGGCGGTAGGCGGAGGATTCGGGGAACGTCTGCAACTTTTGCAGAGTAGTCGAGTAAAGGTAGATCAAGGTCGGACGAGGGCTGGGGTGGGTGAAAAGACCAGTCAGACCGGTAGGAGCGAAAGGCTCCAAGTACCGGGGCTTGACATTGGCCAGTAGCCGGAGTGTAGACCGCATTGTGAATGAATTGTGGTGATATTGAAGTCACACTGGTTAGGGAGGGCGAAGTGTCGAAGTCGGCCCGGAGCGGATTAACCCGATGTTCCACCCAAACGGCAGGGGGAAAGACGCATCTCGCCTTTTTCTTTAACCATCAAAGCCTCACGTCTGGATTGTTCGGGCTGTGTGCAGTTCTGTTTTGTTCTCAGCTCCGGGGCGCTATAGTCGCTAAGTGCTGCCTTCTTGCGACGTGTTGACCAGTGCCCACCTGAGTCGTCTTCGCCCCCCGTTCAATGTGCCACCTGTGACATTTCGCGATCCCGTACTTCGACCAGAGTCCTTCGTTTTTCTCAATCACCTCATACTTTCTTTCAGTCCTGATACTTGACCCACGGTCAACATGAAATCATCTTGGTTGGGCTTGTCCCTCCTCTCACTGTTGGCAGCGCCCGCTTTAGGAGCACCTTCAGATGCTTCTTCGGATCTGGAATCGGGAGACCATGCCTTACTCGTTGCACGAGGCGGTCGCGGACTGGACCCAGAAGAACCCTCGGTCTTCAATGGGGTCGAGGTGCCCCCGCTGACGCAGATCACCCCGGAGAATTTCGAGGAGGTCACCAAAGACGGTCTCTGGTAAGGATGCCCAGCTCATGGATTCATCAGTATTCTGACTGTTATAGGATGATTAAGCATTACTCTCCATCGTGCCCCCATTGTCGGACGGCTGCTCCTATCTACCAGACTCTCTATGAGTACTACTACGTGAGTATCCTCCATGTTGGTTCAATCCGTGGAGATAAACTAATTTGCGGGTAGACCTCGAATCCACTGTTCGTCTCGGCAGCGAAGCCCGATGAATCGAAGTCCTTGAACTCCTTTACTGGCTATTACAACTTCCATTTTGGATCAATGAACTGTCTAGCATACAGTGACTTCTGCTCTAAGCTGAAGGTTGACTACTATCCTGCGTGGGGTTTCTATCAAAATGGCGTTCAGCAGGAGCCTCCAATTGGTGCCAAAAAGATGTCCGATCTGGGCGAGATGATTGAAAAGAAGCTAGAGGCGGTTAAACCTGGGTCTCGGCCTTCGCAAGGCATCGAGCTGCCAAAGATTGGCGCCAGGAGTATGGAAATGACTGCTAAGCCTCTGACCGAGGCTGCAATTGAGGCAGCCAAGGAGAAGGCTGACGAGAAGCAGAGCGTCGCAACCTCTGAATTGGAAGGCGTCAGCCCTCAGGCCGCCAAGGCCAAGATTCAAGGACGGCCCGCTAACCCCCAGGGTCTTTCCATCCCACTTACTGCGGAGAGCTTCCAAAAGCTTGTTACCACCACCCGTGACCCATGGATCATCAAGTTCTACGTCCCATGGTGCCCTCATTGCCAGGCTATGACCCCTAACTGGAACTCGATGGCCAAGGAGATGAAGGATAAGCTCAACGTTGGTGAAGTGAACTGTGAAGTCGAGAAGCGTCTTTGCGAAGATGCCCGAGTGAGTGCCTACCCGACTATCTACTTCTTCCGTGGTGGCGAGAGGGTTGAATACACTGGCCTCCGCGGCCTGGGCGATCTCCTCTCGTATACCAACAAGGCTGTTGGCGTTGGTTCCAGCATCCAGGATGTCGACGCTGCTACATTCAAGGAGCTGGAACAGACCGAGGAAGTTTTGTTTTTGTATCTCTACGACGACGCGACGACCTCCGAGGATTTCGAGGCCATGAACCGTTTGACTCTCAGTCTTGTTGGACACGCTCGCATCGTCAAGACCAACAGTGCTACGCTGTCCGAGCGCTTCAAGATTTCTACTTGGCCTCGTCTTCTGGTGGTCCGTGATGGACGTCCTAACTACTATAACGCTCTCGCCCCGAAGGACATGAGAGACTTCCGCCAAGTCCTCTCATGGATGCAAACTGTGTGGCTGCCCATTGTTCCTGAACTTACTGCATCCAACGCTCGTGAAATCATGGACGGAAAGTTCGTTGTCCTGGGACTCCTCAGCCGTCGTCGTTCTGATGACTTCAAGCAGTCCAAGCGCGAATTGAAGGAGGCTGCTCTTGAGTGGATGGACAAGCAGGTCCAGTTGTTCCGTCTTGAGCGTGCTGAACTTCGTGATGCCAAGCAACTGCGTATTGAAGAAGCCGATGACCGCAACGATCAGCGCGCTCTGCGCGCTGCGAAGAACATGCGTATCACCATCCGCGAGGACGACAAGAAGCCAGTCGCCTTTGCTTGGGTTGATGGCGATTTCTGGGAGCGCTGGCTGCGCACTACCTACGGCATTGATGTGGAGAGCGGTGACCGCGTGATTGTCAACGATCAAGATAACCGCCGTTACTGGGATACCGCTTCGAGTGGAGCCCCCATCATGGCCTCGCGAACCTCCATCCTCGAGACCATTCCTCTCGTCATTGCTTCCCCCACCAAGCTGTCCCCCAAGTCAACCATCGGCACTTTCGAGACCATCTTCTTCTTCGCCCGGTCTCTCCTCAGCAGCCACCCCATCCTCTTCTTCATCATTTTGGGCGCTGTGGTGGCGTTGGCCACCTTCTTTGGACGTGGACGCCTCCGTCGCAACGCCTCTCGCGGCGGCATTATTGGTAATAACAACAATAATGGCGGCTTCTTCCACCTTGACGGCAAGGAGGGTTTTCTGAACGGAGGCTCGACCGGAAAAGTCGATTAATGAGATACATGTACAGTAAGGGTGTTTGGCTGCGCGATTCTTATAATCTTTGTTTCCACTGTATTTGATTGATGCTGGTCTATTTTCATGCACTGCCTGTTCGACCAACTCTGTCTCATTTGAATCTTTTGCATGTCAGATCGTGGGTTTTTGCAGCACATATCTCCTTCCTTATTCTATTCCTTTCCCCCTTTACCCAACCCTGGAGTCCAGGCGTATCAGTTCCTATATTCCAGAAATCGAATCAATAATTGCATTCATCTCAGTCCTATACTTGTACTTGTAGAGCATCACGAAAACAATTATCCTCCCTCTGATTGGCTGTTCGGCTTCAAGTCACGTGCCCACTCGGGCGCTCCCGGTTTTCGTCGAAGTGCCTGCTCTCCCCTCGAGCCATTGTCCCACCAAATCACATCGGTGTCATTCAAAATGGTAAGTGACTGCAGCAAGCACAGACGACAGAAAGACCATCGTCATCTGGAAGTTCTCTACCTGTTCGGCTACGGTCCGGGCAGGAAGTCGCGTTGTGGATATCACAACCGGGCCTCCGGACCGGCGGAATGAGAAGTCAAGATGTCACCTTACAAGGCATCAATTGCTAACAGACATACTATAGTTCGCCACTTCCGCTCGCCGCGCTGCGGCCCAGACTTCCGCCTTCGCTCCCAAGTGAGACTTCCCGATCCTTCCTTGAACCTCGGACGATGGACTTTGAGTGTGCCAGGCAGGGTCAGGCGAGAGAATCCCAGAGCTATTAGATGGCGAAAACATTGATGCAGTCTCTACGGCTCATTGGAATTCATATAATTCTCTCGTTCTCTCAAAGCGGAGCTTTGCGGAGCTGTATAGCGCAGAGTGCAACCCTGTGGACCTTCACAGCAGACTCAAAGGAAGACTGAGGAAGAATTAGAACACCACACTAACCATCAATCTGCAGGTACACCATCCCCCGTCACTACGGTGGCTACACCCTGGGCACCGCCATCAAGACGTGAGACCCCCGACATCCCACCCCAAATGCAAATACTCCGACTCGGACAGTATATACTGATACATCTCCCAGCGGTACCCTTCTCGGTAGCTTCGGTGTCGCCATTGGCACTGGTGCCCTCTTTATCTTCGGCGAGGTCCCCCGTGTGCGCAACGACATCCTCCGCCAGCTTCCCTTCTTCGACACCTACTACGACCGCACTATCCCCGCCGAGGACAACGTAAGTCGAGGCCGATCCTTTGTTTGCGATATTGAGACTGACTGACTCTTTTTTTTCCTGTTTAGCCCTTCTAAATTATCCGCGGATCTATACCTGTTCCCCTTTTTGACCGACATGGCTTGAAACTCTGGACAGGCTAGGGCTGTACTGTGTAGAATAGCGAGGTCTTTCTGTTTTTAATAGCACATAGAAACGGCTGTTTCCAAGTGTCGTATTCCGATACTCCAAGGTTATGTAGTCAAAAGTGTACGACGTACAAGGCTTCTAGATGTCTATGTACCACCCTCAAAAGACCCAATCATATCACTTGAAAGCAGTGAGAACCATACAAACAGAACCTATTCAGGCAAGTCCACGCATAGATAAGGCCATGTTCTATCCCTAACGTCAAAGTCAAGCCTTATCTCGCTTACTCTTATCATGCACTTCAACCCCGTGAGTTTCAACGCCTGCAGTTTCCCCTATAGGCATGGAACCTTCGCCAAGAAAAGTAGCACAGAAGCCCTGAGCCTCGAATGAACACCCTGAACAGCTCCCCCCTGTACGAATCATAGCTCGCGTGCGGAGAACACCAGCTATATCCTTGGACTCCCGGATATCCAAGTCTACAGATCAAACTCGAAGCTAGTATATCTGCATTATTCATTTGATTTCCTTTCATGTCATTCGTCCTTATCGCGGAATACACCGTTCTCGCCTGCTTTCGCCCCCTCTCTGGCGATATAGTCTTTCCACCGCTCTCTTTGGAAGTGTACTTCCGATCGTGCGCGGGGGAAGATGGAAGGAAAACGCCACCCTGCAAGATTGTGTAGATAACATGCTGTGCTAGGTACCCCTGGTCTTCTTCGGATCGAATCGAGTCTTTGTTTATATTATATTATATCCTCCTTCCCTCTGGTCAGGGTTCGGTTTCTTGTTGAACTTGTATCTTGGACTTGGTCCTACCATTTCGATCTACAGTACTTGACTTATACTATCCATTATTCTTCTTGATTGCTGGTTCACCTCTAATATTTCAGATCTCAGATCTTAAATTCTACCCCCGCATTATCTTATTATCATACCGACTACTGGCTACTACTGCCTCGGCCATGGGCGCAAGCATGGAGTCTAAACCCTCCGTCTCTGTCAACAAAGGCGCTGGGTATCGCGATGCTGGACATGAGCAGGTTACCTCTATTCTGCCTGATGGTGATGTGCCATTTACGGATCATGATATGGATGCGGATGAGAGAGTCATTACGGCACTTGGTTATAAGCAGGAGTTCAAGCGCGAGTTCTCGCTGTGGACGACTTTCTGTGTTAGTTTTGCTGTTCTGGGACTGTTGCCTTCTTTTGCGAGTACCCTTTATTATGGTGAGTGCTATATATCTGGTTTCGTGCATCGTTTGATGGAATTTCGACATACTGACATGGATGGATCAAGGTATGGGATATGCCGGAACAGCAGGTATGGTCTGGGGTTGGATAATCGCCATGATCTTCATCCAATGCATTGCAATGTCGATGGCGGAGCTTTGCTCAGCTATGCCTACAAGGTAAGTCACCACCTGAAGGCCAACCGCTTGGGCAGCCAGGGCAAAAGGACGAAGAACTGACCAATCCACCCACAGCGGCGGCCTCTACTACGCAGCAGCAGTCCTTGCACCACCAGGCTACGGCCCCTTTGCAGCCTGGATAACAGGCTGGTCAAACTGGATCGGCCAAATAACAGCAGCCCCATCGGTGAACTACTCGCTAAGCGCAATGATCCTAGCAGCAGTCTCAATTCACAACCCATCCTACACCCCAACAACCTGGCAAACCTTCCTCCTAACAACGCTCATAATGATAGTCCACGCGGGAATAAGCAGCATGCCAACAAAACGCGTCGCGCAATTCAACTCCTGGGGCTCAACCTTCAATTTCCTAGCCCTAATAGCCGTCCTCATCCTCATCCCAGCAAACACCAAAAACGTCCCCAAATTCACCCCCTCCCACGAAGTCTGGTCGCACATCACCAACCTAACAGATTTCCCCGACGGCGTCGCAGTGCTAATGACCTTCGTCGGTGTCATCTGGACAATGTCCGGCTACGACTCGCCCTTCCACCTGAGCGAGGAATGCTCGAACGCGAATATCGCTTCGCCGCGCGCGATTGTGCTGACGTCCGGCGTGGGCGGGCTGTTGGGCTGGTTCCTGCAGCTCGTCGTTGCGTACACGGTTCTGGATGTCGAGGCCGTTATCGATTCCGATCTTGGTCAGCCGTGGGCGTCGTACCTGCTGCAAGTTATGCCGGCCAACACGGCTATGGCTATTCTGGCTTTGACCATTGTTTGTGGATTCAGTATGGGGCAGGGGTGTATGGTTGCTGCATCGAGGGTTACATATGCCTATGCTCGTGACGATTGTTTTCCTTTTTCGAGGTATTGGAAGGTTGTTAATGGGTATACGCAGACGCCTGTAAATGCGGTCATTTTGAATGCTGTGTTGGGGATTTTGATGTGTCTGCTCATTCTGGCCGGGGAGGTTGCTATTGGGGCTTTGTTTTCTATTGGGGCTATTGCGCAATTCTTTGCTTTTGCTGTGCCGATTTGTATTCGGGTTTTCTTCGTGGGCAATCGGTTTAGGAGGGGGCCATGGCATTTGGGTCCGTTTGGGCCTTGGGTTGGTGGTATTGGTGTTTCTTTTGTTTTGCTTATGGTGCCGATATTGTGTTTGCCTAGTGTTACCGGCAGTGATTTGACCCCGGATCTGATGAATTGGACTTGTCTTGTGTGGGGGGCGCCTATGTTGGCTGTTTCGGTCTGGTGGGTTGTTGATGCAAGGAAGTGGTTTACTGGGCCGGTTGTTAATGTTGAGCATGCTATTCATGCGATTGAGCAGGAGCCTGTTGTTAGTGAGGGGATTGAGCCTGTTTCTCTGGAGACGGAGACTAGTGGTCTCCCGCGCAAGTCGGATGATCCTGATAATCCTCTGTGAGGTGGATGTCGGTTATCGGATGAGAGTTAGGACTTGATTTTTGTGCTGCGTTCTTGGTATAATATGTATAACGTTTAAATGGAATTTATCCTTCGGTTCAGGAGTCTAAGCTTTCTTAACGCTTTAATCCCGGTAAGAAGTGACACAAAATGGTTGATAAATGAGCAACACAATATAAGCATCCGCCACCTGCATGTCACAAAGCGCAGGGCCCATAAATATGGATAAATCTGACAGCCGCCACATGGAGAAGACCCAGTGCCCCATCTTGCCTTGATTTTGGGGCTGTGATGACCATGTGGATGGAGGAGTGGGCTTACTCCACCAGTCCCAGCTTGAGATAAGCGTATGCGACTGCATGCAGGTATGCTAGATCCGGATGCAGTATCTAGGGATAAGGATAGCGATTAGCAGGTATCTGTCTATCAAACTAGATGCAAGGTATTAAGTATTGGGCATTGGGTATTTGAGGCAGAATCCGCATTCAGTTAGGGCTAGGCGCAGAAATGCAGTGATCTCGAATAACAGCATATATCACAGCCAAAAAAAAGAAGAAAAAGCAATAATTCAAAGAAGGCCCTGCAGAGTATCTTACACCGCAGAATAGCCAAGGACATGTACATGTACATGTACCGGACACGCTGATCGGGTCTAGCAGTTGTACCAGGTACCTCAACTAGGGCCGAGAACACTTGAGAGCCCAGCAACGCAAGCCCGAAACGACACCTAGTACGCCTCAACCAAGTAGGGACGGACAGCGACGAGATACCGCAATCTAGAAACCCCTTTTCCTCCCTGGAGAGTGACTGCGAACACCACCTCCCACACCACCAGGTACCCTATACAACGTACCTTGCGCTGGGATCCCCGGGGAGAATCCTAAAGATCCACCCCCTGAGACCCCACCGACGCTGGTGGACACTGAACATGGATGCAACGGAGAATAAAAAAAAAGGGTTGGCACAGATATGCTTAATCTGACCCCAGGAGAACATCCACTGTCTCCACCGACGTGTACATGGATATGTTGATGCCCATGTCGATAGTGAGCATTAACTCGACAACATTATATGTAATAGTGAGATACTATATGAAAAATAGCACCATTATCAATGTTCCAAGCCTATAGACACGGCACAGGTCATTATTATCAAAGTCAATTTAGCTCTATTTATTATATATATTGCCCAACCAGATCAGCTAACTCGGCCATGCGAGACAACACGTAACTTGCAACAGCCAAGCACTTACCCCAAGCCACGAGAACTAGAGCGAAAATACCCCAAATCACACCCAAATCACACCCAAATCACACCGGCGTTTACAGAATGTACAGTAAAACCCCGATCGACACTGCCAGGGGTGTCCCAATGCCAACCCCAGCGGTCCCAGTCGCGGTCCCAGTGTCCCAGGAACCGATCGGCACAGAATATACGGAGTACGTCATGAAATCCAGATACCCACGGTTCAATGATCCCGTGCCTGGCAAATTTTCACTTTCCCAAGTAAAAGTGTGAAAATGTACAAGTGTGAAAGTGTCTTGATCCCAGTACCGTGGAATTTACCTAAGGAGGCGAGCCAAAAGAGAAAAACGCCTTGGTGGCTGCAGTCGGAGACCACCCGAGTGCAATTTACAATACCATACCTTCCGAATAGGGTAAGCCATTTTGCCGTTTTCCATTACTTGGCGTATTGGTATGCTATTTCGGCCCGATTTCTGGCTTTTCTTCGGCTCAGGCAGCCACTAAGTTATTTCCATGTCATGTAGACTAGGAATCAGATGCATTGTCGGATGCGAACAGCATACACATACATGGGATAGGTCGGTTCTGAGTAGTTGGTACTTTGTTTCCACGGGTTTCGGGTCTTGGGTGGTGAGATGACCATGGCTTGCATCACATGAGGTAGTATTATACTTATTATAATATTATAATATTGGATTATCGGAATAGAATTTGGTGATTATTCGCATACTTCCGTAGATTCTTAAAGTCTATCCTAACCTATGACGTGGCGTCCGGTTGAGGGATTTGCCTGAGATATAATAATCATATACCAGTCAACAGTGAGGTTGTCAACTACAGGAGTATATATTTATAGTAGATGTCAACATCTCAAGTCTCCATCAACTCCACATACACATGGAGAGAATGTCACTTGACATGTTCTCCAGTCCAAAGTCAATTCGGGAACTGAACTCGCCAATACCACTTCCAACTTACACGTAAGATCTAGAATACCGAGTCTTTGCCTATGAGGTCGGTGGCGGCGTGATCCTTTTGCTGAAGTGGACAAGGGCATATGATTGGCCAACAGGATCCTGAAACTCGGCGATCCGGACTTGGCTTGGGCGGTGTTTCCGGCCTGTGCCGGCGCCTTGTAGACTTCTCTTTCTGTTGGGTAATTTTTGATTCTTTTACGGAGTACAGTTCTACTCTCACGTGAGTTCCTACCAGTTCGGCAGTCGTGGAGTCGGGATCTCCGCGGGTTCGAGGTATTATTTACTATTGTACTCTGTATGGATTAGCCTGACTACAGCCCAACAAGTACTTTTGTAGACAGTTAGTTTTACTAGACCCGAATCCATCGGCAGGGTTTTCTCAAGCCAAGCTTTCCATCCAAAAGAAAAGAAAAGAAAAGGCCGATCCGATGCTTGGTCATGCAGGAGACTAGACCTCGGTCTCATCCATGGATTATATGTACACTAACCGTATATTCCTTATAAACAGTAGTATAAGCAGAGAACAATACCTTGTACCTGAATCAATTAACCCCCTGATTTTCTTGAAAAGAACTCCGCAAAGCCTCACCGTACTTTGCAAACCCTTCCCTTTCGGGGGATGAGTGGAGACCGCCAACATCCGGCGTTGATGCCGAGTGCCCTAATTCTGTCGCAGTCCTAACGACCTGCCAGATTGAACACACCGCATTGAATTGATTAGTTGAGTCGGAGCTAAGGGTAAGCCACGAATATAACGCTTTTCCGGATTGTAGGGGAAATGGGAATAAAAATGAAATGGAAAGGTCTATGCAGGTACTCAATACACACACATACACATACCGAGGTGAGACAATGTGGAAGGTTAAGCGAGAGCCTGTTACGTGTGGAATTGGGTCATTCCCTATTTTCAGTTCATTCACTTCATACAGAATCCCAAGGAGTGCATACAACCCTCAAAGAACACTGATATAGTCTGATTTCTGCAGAACCCTGGTCGAAGCCTTCCAGGTCCACAATCGAAGCGGGAGAAGCTCTTGCGAAGGGGTGGAGAAGGAGGGGCAGGGATATTGGGTCCGGAATACAGATCTCGTCCGTTTCCACGTACTATACTAGACTACGCTACAATATGGATTACACTTTTATCAATCTACGAATGCGTTCACGTTATAAGTTAGCCCCTATTCTCCTGTTTCCTCTCCTATTTGAGTCTGAAACTTTCTCGGGATGCTTATTAAACCTGCTTCCATCAGGGGTTGCACCCCCTGAATTCGGAAACATTCCTGCCGTCTCTAGGCAGAAATCGGAGATGGATTAGACTCTCAAGCTTACGAGTCTAGGAACGGAATCAGGGCGGCTACGGCGCTCCGATAAAGTACTATACCTACACCTGTGTGTACGTCTGTACATATGTACAACTTCACAGGGGTACGTAAAGGGCAACTATGCATGGTCGTTACTACTTCGACTCGACACTACGCCCGGTCGGACATCCCCCCCAACCATAATGATTGATAAGTCGGGGCCGGAGAACCATCCCCTCTGCATGCAATAGACTCTCTGCAGCCGGGAAGCATGATGCAGTCCTATTCCGGAGCTCTAACCCTTCCAAGGTTCTCTCGGACCTCGGAATGACGTGCTGGGAGATCAATGCAGATGATCTAGACATGACTGTTATCTCTTCAGCTGTACATCTCAGATCTCAACTTGCGGGGCTGTCAGCCACTGCGGAGCCATAAACAAAGAAGAGCCAGGGTGATAATCCACTGGAGCTCCATGAGATCTTCATACAGTACATTGTATATGTGGACATGGAGATGGGGGATGGAATGGAAGGCCGTGATCGGAGCAATGAGCCGGTGTTTGAGTTTCCATAGAGAACAGAATCAAAATAGAATAGTCAGAATAGTACAGTTACAGAATGGAATAGCATAGTTTGTGTCTGCTTGCGAGTACCGCGATCGGCCATTCCCAAAACGGCAGCCATGTAATTTTCGTAATACCGTACAGTCTCAATATTTGGCTCGTCGCCTCTTGCCTCCCCGAGGAACGATCGTCTTTTTTCGTCTTTTTCGTTCTTTTTTTTTTTTATTACCCGGTCTTCCGCCTGAGAATTCTCTTTCCCCCCAATTCTCAATTCTCAATTCTCATTCAATTCTCCGACTTGATACACCTTTTCTTGCTTCTCTTTCTTTCTTTCTCATATCTCACTGTTCAATCGATTGACGCGAAGCAGATCTCGGACTAGTTGTTTTTTCCTGCAGACCCACTTGCACGCCCGCTTCTTCGGTGGATACAGAACCATCGACGCTGACAACGTGCGGATAAATCACACTTCTCTGCCGTGGGGACATCTTCTTCAATTAAGCATTCTTCTTCTTTTATTCTCTCTTCTTCATCCTGTGGAGTCCGAGTTTCAGAACCGCCTCGTCCCGTGATCCGTGATCTGTGAAGTCGTTCCGCCTCCGGGGAAAATTTCGTCAAACAAGGAGCTGCGCTTCGAGCCAAAAAAAAAAATTGAGATTGCAGATTTTGGAGTTCGATGATTCAGTTACCGTGAACAACTTCTTCTCTTGATCTCTCTCTCTCTCTATATACAATGGATCCCAGATCTCACCCTTCCCGTCCTCCCTCCACCAGCCTGCCTCCAGGCTCCACGCCTATGTCCTCGACTCCCATCTCGAGCATGCACATGCCACAATACTCGATGCAGCCGCAGTACCCGGTCTCGCAGCCGCATACACTGCCTCCTCTGCAGCCGCATCACCCTCAGTCGCCCGCG